AAATTTAAATTTGCCGACTGGAATTCTTCGGATGATTGACGTTTTGGATGATTGACTTTCGGATAATCGACGCTCCACTGTATTGACATAATAGAAACAAAAAGTCTATCTATAGTATTATCTCAATTTGAAAAAAACTGATATATTTATAAAGAATAACATCTTCATTGAAATTTAAATAGCTAGTAATTTAAAACTGCAATTCTATTGTGACATCGTCACAATGTCAGACTGCAATTCTTAATCATATTTTTTCATTTATTTAATTTAAAATATATGTTCTCCACCTTCAAATCACTAGTGTCTTGCCCCTGTACATCACACTTTTCCTTTAACAATTGAGTTGTGCCAGTCTAACTAACTCCTTTCAGTAGAAATTTTCAAACTGAAATAATATGACTTCAAGTTTGCATTAGATATTTGCATATAGTTAATCAGTCCTGCCCTTAAACTGTCCACATCTGGTCAGCTTTCATCCATCTAACTCCGTTCTCAAGATTACAGAAGGACAGACAAATGGACGACAGTAGGAATTTATAGGACTACAATTTTTTCAAATTTCAGCCCAATAAAAACAATTTTTATGATAAAGGTTTAAAACTAACTTTTAAAAATTTAAAATATTATATAATTCATTTCATAAGTATAACATAATATTTGAAAAAGACATTTTAACTTACTTTAGAATGAAAATCGATATGAGCATAGTAGCCTGTCTTGGCACAACTAATATTAACTTCACCACATAATTCAATCCAAGGCACACTTAGAATGGATCTAAAATATTTTTTTAAATAGTAAATTATTCAATGGGATCAGTTATTTAGTTAAAATGAATTTTAAAAAAATAACTATATTTCTAAAAATATTTTAAAATTAAAATATAGAATAAAGTTAAAATACTCAATCAACACCAATTCCAAGATAACAAATTACGAGTTGAAGCAGTTAAATCATAAAAAAAATGCTTATTTTACTTTTTTCTTATCCATATGCATTTTGCCTTCTTTCTTCAGCCTCATCAGAGGATAACAATACTCATTTTACCATTTTATATTGGTGCTTTTATACCATACAAAGTGCCATCCAAGCATCTAATGACATTCCAGTTGTAATTCATTACCTCCGAATCAGTGTCGCTTGACTATTTTAACTTGGAGATTGTGTTCTATATTTTAATTTTTAAACATTTTTAGAAATATAGTTATTTTTTTATTCATGGATCTAAAATATTAAAAATTATCATTTAAGTTATTATTTTAAATATAAATAATATTGATAAAAGAAAAAAACTATAAAATTATTAAAAATTTAAATTACAAAAACTGTACATTCTAAACCAATTAATAATCGTTGATAATTAATGTTTATTATTAGCAATTCTTGAAAAACATACTGTGATGTAAATTACTATAAGATACATTGTTGTATTCTTTTATTCTTTCTTGGCCATATAACAGCCATTACACGATTTTACATTACATTGATTTCAATAAATATTCAAAAGTAAACATTTTATCATTAAATTCTGGACATAAATAAATGAATAATGTTTAAATTAGTATTCAATTTTTAAATTGGATGATGACTACAATTATTTGAAAGAATTTATTTGAACAAAATTTTTATTGGAATAAAATCAATTTATTGACATTCAAAATTAATGTAAAACTGTTTTTAAAATTTATTTTATTCAAATTCAGTACTTATATACAAAACAATAACGGTTAAGTAACTGAGTGATTTTTAAGATAATTATAAATTAATTATGAACAAATATGACATTACAATTAGCCATTGTTGCCATTTCATGATAACTAACAATTAAACAATTATTAATTTTTTAAATGATAATTTTGAATATGGAAGTTTGATTCAAATATGATTTAAATGCCTAATTTCCATATAGCAGGATATCATTAGTTACACTATAAGTTTGGAACATATTGTTGTTCCACTACTAGAAGGTTCTGACATTTTCTATTTAATTTTTGCATCATCAGGTTCCATCTGCTATATTATTAAAATGCTCTCTCATCAAGTTTATGAAATAAGAATGAAGTTATATGGTTCCATCTGTGAAGTCTTTATCATCAATGGCATCAGAAGGTTCTATCTGCGTTTCAAAATTCATTTTTCAATAGGACAGCTGAGCAAGCCACAGCAGGGATATTTTCTGTTGGATTTCAATATTTCTAGCACTGGTAACAGATCGAGTGATTAGCCTATAATCAAAAAATTAATTCATATTTTGATTCTAGTGGCACTAGTGATGAAGATAAATATTAACAAGATGGATTACAAGTATATTGAACCTCATCACTGTAAATCAGAGCCTCAGTGCCTTTCTATCAATATTGCATGAGCAATATTGATTGAAAGGATGAAAATTAGATGATTTTTGAGTATTAATGCAAAGTGTTCTTTAATTAATGAATTAAACATATCATTTCACATTCAAAAAAAACCTTTGTGAGAAAAACAGAGACAAAAAGAAAATGATTTCACACATGAGCTATCTGCTACCATTAACATGAATAACAAGCAAAAAGATGTAATTGCTTTACTGCAAGAAACTGATTGCAATTACAATCAAAAAAGCTTGTATTGGCCTTGCAAATGTTATTGCTCATTTGAGTTACTAAATAAGATGTCAGTACTTTTTTTTAAGAGGAAGCTAAATTTGTCAACTTTACAGATCATGCTTGGTTTAGGAAAAACTAAATCAAGCATGTATACTATGTAATTTTGGCTAGAGATTCTTTGTAATCAGATTGGAAATGACATTGCAAATGACACTGAAAATATTAGAGAAAATTTCCAAGGATTTCCCCAATGTAAATCACAATCTAGAAAGATAGTTGTGTTCCCCAAACTAAAAATTTTATCATAGCATATGTACTTTGCAACTTCTTGTGCCAACATGCTGAAAAAAATCATCCATTCATGAGATTTTACATACCATGACAATCCAGCATGCAAATAGACAATGTTCATAGTCAAATTGAAATATCCATGCAACTTGCAGAATAGCATTCATATTTGTCTTTTTTCCATTTCCTGATGAAAGAAAACAGAGAAAATATTTTCATGCATAAAAAAGATTTTTTTTTCATTTTCAAGCATTTGCATTTATGACTGAAATGTGATTCCATTCACACCAGCATCATGTCATTAAATAAAAATTCCCCCCTTCAAAATGATTTTACTGATGGCGATATCCAAAACTTCACTAGACAAAAGCTTCAGAATTCCAAGTAACATTGAGAACATACAACAGCAGTTGTTTGGCACACCAACATCTATATCCAAAGCACTTACTTTGAACAAATTTAAATTTCCAATAATTCTGCTATTTTAAAATATATATACTGCATTCTATCTTCATAGATAGACAGAATGCATTACCATGCTTTCTGATTTCCACAACTTTCTTCTTTTGAATTCTTGTTGTTTGGATTCAATATTTTATACTGATATTACACTAATATAATAAATGTGAAAACAAACAAAAATCTTTCATCCCAATAATAAGTAGTCAAAATGCAGACAGAACAATTTTTTTATATATAAATACTCACACACACAATTAATGGATTGTTTCAGATAGAATCTTAACTAATTAAAAGCCTATATTTTAACTAAAACTAAAGCACGTTTAAGTATATAGTCATCGTTAATTTGAAACGAAAATTGTTTTTATAGTTCTTTAATTATTTTGTAATTAAATATTAGATAGACTTTTCCTTCATTTTTTTGAGCATATCAAATATTTCGATCACTTACTTTATTTTAAATTTTTTAACAGTTTTGTTTATTATGATTGGCTATTTTTACATGTTCCTGTAAAAAATCTACTACCTTCATCATGTGTGTTTACTCCATTTTTTCATCTGAGTGTATCTCAAAAGGTCCTTTTTTTTTTTATCATACTACTCAAAATGTAAACAATTTTGATGATATTTTATACCTTGATTTAAAACTAGAATGTTTTAAATTAAAATGTAAAAACATGTTATATAATTNAATTCATTACCTCCGAATCAGTGTCGCTTGACTATTTTAACTTGGAGATTGTGTTCTATATTTTAATTTTTAAACATTTTTAGAAATATAGTTATTTTGATAGAAAATTTTAAAATTTTTAGATAAATGTCATATTTCATAATACAAATATTGTTTATATTAATGTAAGATAATGAAAAATATTACAGTAGAGCATTGATTATCCAAAACAATTCAAGACTGGGGTTGTTCTGATAACTGATCATTTACAAAAAAAATATATTAAACACAAAACTGTACTGTATATATTTTGAATCACACATCTTACAAATTCATACCTTACATAAAGTAGGCCTAAGTTTAGGTTGGCAGGGAGGAAAAAGTACTGCAATGCCACAGCACTAGTAGAAATTTGAATTTGCCAATTGGAACACTTTCGGTTAACCAATGTTTCAGTTGATCAGTATTCAGATAATCAATGCCCTACAGTAGTTACATTCTAATTTAGTTTCAATGCAAAACAAATACTGTATTGCAATTATTAGAAAGGAGTATATAATATTTTCCTCATAAAATGTTTAACAGTATTTCTTAAGATCACTTTGTATGAGAGAAACACATCAGATCAAGAATATATTAAACACATACTTTTTAATAGTTAATTTTTTTGTATACATTAAGTATTTTAGAATAAAACATTTAAATGTATACAAAAAAAATTTAGTACATTGTTTTGTGTACATATGAAAAGAAGTAATTCATGATTTCAAGCTAATCAAAATATATAAATAAATAATAAACAGAAAAATCTTTTCCTCTCTTTTCTTCATAAACAAATAAGATATATTTATTTATATAATAAGTTTATTATTACTGAATATTAAACTAAAATATTGATTTGTTAACCTTTTATGGTTAAAAAGTTCATTTTTTAAAGATAAAATGAATGCTAATTGATTTAAAATAATATTCAGTAAATAAATTATTTATCTTACCCCAGTATTTAAATTCTTTCCTTCCATTACACCATTCCATTCTCCCGTCACAGTATAAAAAGGCTTTTTGTCACTTGGTTGAAAGACATTAGCAGTGATACGATGTTTCTTGTTATTGTAGAAAGGCTAAACAATATAAATGTATAATGAAATAATTGCAAAAACTATAACATTGTATCATCATAAGTTACTTATGTTTCCAGTAATCAGAAAGATTCACCAGTTAAATAATTAAATTATTATATAAATTAAAATACATAAATGCATTAGTGAATTAATAATAATAATTAAAACTTTATATATAACAACAAAAAATAAAATTGTTTTCTATATTACAAAAATTATTTACACACTGTATAATAATAAATGTATAAGAAACATATAATAAAAATGTTACATTTTATTACAAATATTTTTGTAGATAAAACAGAAAATTGGAAATGTTTAGACTAATCATTTTCATTTATTTTAACATGAATTTCCTATATTTCCACTCACTTTAAATGTATTTAAACTTCTTTTCAATATTTAAAATTTACAACTTGAAACAAATTTTTATTTTATTGATAAAAAGTTGGTCTAAATTTCATATTCTTGATAGTAAATAACTGATTATTTTGTTATTTTCTCTCATTTACTCAATTTGATATAACACTTCAGTAAAAATAAGTTTTGTAAATCACTGTAAAAAATTTGTCATTTATCATGCTTTTGATTCTAATAAAACTTTTAAGTAAATAATTAAATCCCTTTATTATATTGTATTATTGTTACTATAGTAAACAAAATATCAACAGAATAGAATATATTTCTAATCCTAATTTTGATACAGTTAATCTAGCAATTCTTTATAACTTTCAAATAAACTTTAAAGTTTTAGCATGTCAAAATATCTAAAAATTATTTTTAACACAGCTTAAAATCCAAAATTTTAAACTTAATGACTGAACTGATGTTAATTTTAGTTTGTTATGTTATATTGCATATTGCATCACCAATAAATCTAAAATAAAATTTAATTTCTTCAATACCCATATACATAGATAAAGCCAAGACATTTTTTTTCTTAATTAAACGGTCATCATATGAATTTTCCAGTTTTAACATTTTTGAAAATATTTAAGATTAAAATTTACTGGTCCTTTTTTAATTATTATATTTATATTTTCAAAATATGGGCCTATGTATGTGAAGTATTAGATGGAGCATGTGTATGTAAATTATACATATACAGCAAAACTTCTCTTAGGTGACCATCTAAATTGTATGAAAAACAGTAGTCCTGGAAAGTGGTCTTCTAAAATAAATACACCATTTTGACAGCATAAAGCATTGTATTAACACAGTGACATAATAAAAAGATAGAAATACTGTGAGATAGAAAAAAAATGCATTTTATTTGCCTTGCTGGAAATTATCTAGTAATAAGTGCAAAAAATATATATATAAATTGTACACACATTATAACTTCTGTACTGTCTTATTCATATTGTAAATGTCACAATCACGTCTCATCTTGCCCACTCAGAAATAATTGGAATTCCTAATATCTATTCATCAAAAGCATCTTTGTTTACTTCTTCACTTTCAAAACAGCTTGAAACATAATGTTATGTCACAGATAAAACTTAACAAACCATCCACTGCTGGTATGAAAGGTTCAAACTCCAAGTTCCAAGGCAAACTTTAAAGCCATTTCTTGCATCATCAATCCTAAGACAGGCAAGCCTTTGAAACAACAATGATAAAAATCTACCCAAAATTGTTCTGATGACATCTTTATAGGATTTGGTATAACTTCATTTGATGTTCTCCATAATGTTTGCTTCCCATTCACAGATAAAGCTCCTTTTTGGCAAAAATTGTAGTATTTGAGTCTTCATATACTTAAATTCCTTTTCCAATTGTTGCTGCAATTTTCCAGCTTCACTTTGCTCAATACAGGAACTTTTTCCTTTAAAATAAGGAAGAAACTTCTATTTGTTACTTGACATCTTGCTTGCCCACAACTGGCTAAAATGAAACTATGAGCCCTAAATGTTGAGGTTAATTCTCAGAAAAACTTTACTGAAAAAGAAAGTGGATCAAGAAAGGAAAGAAAATATATTCAGTTGAAGATGAATCACCAGCCTGAATTTTACTGTAGTTTCTGAACATACATGCACACAGAACACACAGAAATTTAGAAAGATATTGTACTATAGTTTACAAATGTAAAACCACATTCTTATGAAAGAATTTAAATAATAAAATTAATCTAAAAATTAAATATAGTATGTAGTATAGACAAATTAAAATTCCCTCAAATATCTAACGTTATGATCTAAAGCAGCAGTTCCCAACCTTTTTGATTTGTCCCCTTGGCAGCCCATTTTTCTAAATTGTACCTATTACATTACAGAAATGTTTGTACAGTACTTTATACAGTTGTATTTTAAACTTGTTGCAACTGTAAATAAATAGCAGTGACATGGCAAGGAAGAAGCACAGGGCTGCTGAATTGATGAAAATTAAAAAGTTATCTGTACAGGTAAAAATGTTTAGTGTTCAGTGTTTTATCTACTTTTCTAATTACCACACCATTGCTCTTTGGAGTTGGTTAATAAAAAAAACCAATAATAAATTGTATACAGGTATACCTCGAGTTACATCGTTCTGGATATAAGTCGTTTGTTAAAAAATATATGGAAAAATACGTTATGGTTTTATTTGACTTTACGTCCGTCCACCACAAATATTGAAGTCATAATATCACTAGAAAAACATTAAAGCACATAAAATCATATTAAAACATGTACATTTACAGTAAATGTTTAATATAATCATCATAAATCCTAGAAAATGAAACATGAAAGCATCTGTGTTTCTGTGTTGTTGTCTTATTTAGCGGTCTATAAGTGCTCAATATTGGTGTTTTCAATGGTAGCTCCAATATCTACCGTTTGGCATCGTTGTCAGCGCCACTCAATATTGGTAAATTTAATATAAATTAGTTTATTTTCTACTGTCACAAGGTAATTTTAATAACTGTATTTGTTATTTAACATTACAAAATCATCTTATTTTATAATGTCTTAGAGCAAACCACATTCACAAATAAAGAGTCCACGATGTACTGTAAACATTGCCAAATTGTAAACATATACATTTACATGTATGTATTGTGTGTACATGAATTCGTAAATTTAGATTACTTTTTTCTGTACTATACTAAAATCAAAAATTTATTTGTTTGTAAGCTTAAAATAGATTCTTATTAACCATATATTATTAAAAATGCATTTATAAATAAAATACAAAACTGGGAATGGTTATTTGTGGTTTAGCCTAGTGACAAGTAAGTTTGACTTACGTCGTTTTTCGACTTAAGTCACCTCTTCTGGAACCAATTACTGACGTAAGGTGAGGTATACCTGTATATGTATTTAAAACTCAGATCAATTTATTGAATTCAAGTTATGTGATGCTGCCAAAGACCTCAACATAGAATCTGAATATTCTTATAGTACATACATCTGCCATTATTAATTTTCCTTCGTGTACCCCTAAGGAATCACTGTTCTAAAGTATTAAGGGTGTATCATACAAGCATAGAAAAATATAAAACAAGGTCCACTAATAATACATTTTGCCTCAGACATCCTGATGTCTTATCTTTGACCAGTCATTTTATTTGCAGAGGCAATTCCATTTAAAAGGAAATTTTAAAAGTGATATACTATAGATGCAGACTGTTTGAAACACATATGGTCATTTAAAAGTGTGTGTTTTGCATTATCATATTGTAAGTGAGTAGCCATTGGTGAAGAGAGTAGACTTTTTCAAAGAAAATCAAGTTGCACTGATCACATTGAAGTGGTCTCCCAAAAGAGGTATTCATCTTAGAAAGTTTAACTGTATGTATGTGTATATATATATACAAACATGACAGACACTTGTGTGTATAAAATTAAAATATTGTAACATATAAGGTTAAGTTAAGACATTATATACAATAGAGCGTCAATTATCCAAATCAATTGGGGATTGGGGTTGTTCAGAAAATCGATGTTTCGGATAACCGATTATGTATGAAAAAATATATTAATTTATCCCATCTTGACATTTTTCTCCATTGCGTGTCGCTTCATGTTGAATTTTCATCGATGTTAAGCCTAACGAAGACTATTGTATCATTAAAACTTACTTTTTTATTTTATACGAACAAAATAAATATATTGAAAAATATAAAAACAATAAAAAATTATACTTCAGAAGTTAATTTAGTATCAAAAACGTAAAATATTTGAGAAGCCCAACACATAGCCAAAGATTACAGCGCCACAGCACTGACAAAAATTTAAATTTGCCGACTGGAATTCTTCGGATGATTGACGTTTTGGATGATTGACTTTCGGATAATCGACGCTCCACTGTATTGACATAATAGAAACAAAAAGTCTATCTATAGTATTATCTCAATTTGAAAAAAACTGATATATTTATAAAGAATAACATCTTCATTGAAATTTAAATAGCTAGTAATTTAAAACTGCAATTCTATTGTGACATCGTCACAATGTCAGACTGCAATTCTTAATCATATTTTTTCATTTATTTAATTTAAAATATATGTTCTCCACCTTCAAATCACTAGTGTCTTGCCCCTGTACATCACACTTTTCCTTTAACAATTGAGTTGTGCCAGTCTAACTAACTCCTTTCAGTAGAAATTTTCAAACTGAAATAATATGACTTCAAGTTTGCATTAGATATTTGCATATAGTTAATCAGTCCTGCCCTTAAACTGTCCACATCTGGTCAGCTTTCATCCATCTAACTCCGTTCTCAAGATTACAGAAGGACAGACAAATGGACGACAGTAGGAATTTATAGGACTACAATTTTTTCAAATTTCAGCCCAATAAAAACAATTTTTATGATAAAGGTTTAAAACTAACTTTTAAAAATTTAAAATATTATATAATTCATTTCATAAGTATAACATAATATTTGAAAAAGACATTTTAACTTACTTTAGAATGAAAATCGATATGAGCATAGTAGCCTGTCTTGGCACAACTAATATTAACTTCACCACATAATTCAATCCAAGGCACACTTAGAATGGATCTAAAATATTTTTTTAAATAGTAAATTATTCAATGGGATCAGTTATTTAGTTAAAATGAATTTTAAAAAAATAACTATATTTCTAAAAATATTTTAAAATTAAAATATAGAATAAAGTTAAAATACTCAATCAACACCAATTCCAAGATAACAAATTACGAGTTGAAGCAGTTAAATCATAAAAAAAATGCTTATTTTACTTTTTTCTTATCCATATGCATTTTGCCTTCTTTCTTCAGCCTCATCAGAGGATAACAATACTCATTTTACCATTTTATATTGGTGCTTTTATACCATACAAAGTGCCATCCAAGCATCTAATGACATTCCAGTTGTAATTCATTACCTCCGAATCAGTGTCGCTTGACTATTTTAACTTGGAGATTGTGTTCTATATTTTAATTTTTAAACATTTTTAGAAATATAGTTATTTTTTTATTCATGGATCTAAAATATTAAAAATTATCATTTAAGTTATTATTTTAAATATAAATAATATTGATAAAAGAAAAAAACTATAAAATTATTAAAAATTTAAATTACAAAAACTGTACATTCTAAACCAATTAATAATCGTTGATAATTAATGTTTATTATTAGCAATTCTTGAAAAACATACTGTGATGTAAATTACTATAAGATACATTGTTGTATTCTTTTATTCTTTCTTGGCCATATAACAGCCATTACACGATTTTACATTACATTGATTTCAATAAATATTCAAAAGTAAACATTTTATCATTAAATTCTGGACATAAATAAATTAATAATGTTTAAATTAGTATTCAATTTTTAAATTGGATGATGACTACAATTATTTGAAAGAATTTATTTGAACAAAATTTTTATTGGAATAAAATCAATTTATTGACATTCAAAATTAATGTAAAACTGTTTTTAAAATTTATTTTATTCAAATTCAGTACTTATATACAAAACAATAACGGTTAAGTAACTGAGTGATTTTTAAGATAATTATAAATTAATTATGAACAAATATGACATTACAATTAGCCATTGTTGCCATTTCATGATAACTAACAATTAAACAATTATTAATTTTTTAAATGATAATTTTGAATATGGAAGTTTGATTCAAATATGATTTAAATGCCTAATTTCCATATAGCAGGATATCATTAGTTACACTATAAGTTTGGAACATATTGTTGTTCCACTACTAGAAGGTTCTGACATTTTCTATTTAATTTTTGCATCATCAGGTTCCATCTGCTATATTATTAAAATGCTCTCTCATCAAGTTTATGAAATAAGAATGAAGTTATATGGTTCCATCTGTGAAGTCTTTATCATCAATGGCATCAGAAGGTTCTATCTGCGTTTCAAAATTCATTTTTCAATAGGACAGCTGAGCAAGCCACAGCAGGGATATTTTCTGTTGGATTTCAATATTTCTAGCACTGGTAACAGATCGAGTGATTAGCCTATAATCAAAAAATTAATTCATATTTTGATTCTAGTGGCACTAGTGATGAAGATAAATATTAACAAGATGGATTACAAGTATATTGAACCTCATCACTGTAAATCAGAGCCTCAGTGCCTTTCTATCAATATTGCATGAGCAATATTGATTGAAAGGATGAAAATTAGATGATTTTTGAGTATTAATGCAAAGTGTTCTTTAATTAATGAATTAAACATATCATTTCACATTCAAAAAAAACCTTTGTGAGAAAAACAGAGACAAAAAGAAAATGATTTCACACATGAGCTATCTGCTACCATTAACATGAATAACAAGCAAAAAGATGTAATTGCTTTACTGCAAGAAACTGATTGCAATTACAATCAAAAAAGCTTGTATTGGCCTTGCAAATGTTATTGCTCATTTGAGTTACTAAATAAGATGTCAGTACTTTTTTTTAAGAGGAAGCTAAATTTGTCAACTTTACAGATCATGCTTGGTTTAGGAAAAACTAAATCAAGCATGTATACTATGTAATTTTGGCTAGAGATTCTTTGTAATCAGATTGGAAATGACATTGCAAATGACACTGAAAATATTAGAGAAAATTTCCAAGGATTTCCCCAATGTAAATCACAATCTAGAAAGATAGTTGTGTTCCCCAAACTAAAAATTTTATCATAGCATATGTACTTTGCAACTTCTTGTGCCAACATGCTGAAAAAAATCATCCATTCATGAGATTTTACATACCATGACAATCCAGCATGCAAATAGACAATGTTCATAGTCAAATTGAAATATCCATGCAACTTGCAGAATAGCATTCATATTTGTCTTTTTTCCATTTCCTGATGAAAGAAAACAGAGAAAATATTTTCATGCATAAAAAAGATTTTTTTTTCATTTTCAAGCATTTGCATTTATGACTGAAATGTGATTCCATTCACACCAGCATCATGTCATTAAATAAAAATTTCCCCCTTCAAAATGATTTTACTGATGGCGATATCCAAAACTTCACTAGACAAAAGCTTCAGAATTCCAAGTAACATTGAGAACATACAACAGCAGTTGTTTGGCACACCAACATCTATATCCAAAGCACTTACTTTGAACAAATTTAAATTTCCAATAATTCTGCTATTTTAAAATATATATACTGCATTCTATCTTTATAGATAGACAGAATGCATTACCATGCTTTCTGATTTCCACAACTTTCTTCTTTTGAATTCTTGTTGTTTGGATTCAATATTTTATACTGATATTACACTAATATAATAAATGTGAAAACAAACAAAAATCTTTCATTCCAATAATAAGTAGTCAAAATGCAGACAGAACAATTTTTTTATATATAAATACTCACACACACAATTAATGGATTGTTTCAGATAGAATCTTAACTAATTAAAAGCCTATATTTTAACTAAAACTAAAGCACGTTTAAGTATATAGTCATCGTTAATTTGAAACGAAAATTGTTTTTATAGTTCTTTAATTATTTTGTAATTAAATATTAGATAGACTTTTCCTTCATTTTTTTGAGCATATCAAATATTTCGATCACTTACTTTATTTTAAATTTTTTAACAGTTTTGTTTATTATGATTGGCTATTTTTACATGTTCCTGTAAAAAATCTACTACCTTCATCATGTGTGTTTACTCCATTTTTTCATCTGAGTGTATCTCAAAAGATCCTTTTTTTTTTTATCATACTACTCAAAATGTAAACAATTTTGATGATATTTTATACCTTGATTTAAAACTAGAATGTTTTAAATTAAAATGTAAAAACATGTTATATAATTTTTAATTTTAATGAATTGTTGTTTTTTTCTTTTATTTGTTATATTCATATTTATATTTGTTAATTTGGGGGCAGATATCAATTGTCTTTTAAGACTTTTCTGATTATATGTAAAAACAAACAAATAAATTCATTCTAAATCTTTAATGATGTTTCATTATACAGCTAGTCAATATAAAATAATTATATTTACCTTCCATATCCACTTGGAAAATTAATTAAATATTCTTCATCATATTTCAATACTGAAATACAACCCTGACCAATATTATGAACACAAATAGAAAGCCCTAGAAATTTTGACTTGGTCCATATATGAGCACAACAAGAAATTCCTTTATTATAATGTTCTGCATAGAAGGCTGATACTAAAAGTAATTATTAAAATAGAATTAATTTCCTATATTTACGTAAAACAAGTATAGTTATTAAAATTGTTTATATTAAGGCCAAATAATTGCTGGATTATATCAGACTATAATATGGATAATATTTAATTATTACACAGTAGCCACATTCATAGAAATATCCTAGAAGCTGGAACTTTATACTTTTTACTTTACACTTGCCATACAACTCCAGCACATTGTGTGTTCAATCACAAATGGTTTCAGCTTCATTCAGAGGTCCTCTTCAGGTAAAATAACAAGAGTTTTAGTTCTACTGAGCTTCCAAATGCTCTAAGCTATTCAAATATCTTGTCCAAATGTTGAAAAAAATTCCTTTGTTCAGTTAATAACAATTTGAATAATTCTCAAGGTGTTCTAAAATTTATTTTTGAAAAAATTTTCCAGATGTGAATTGTAAATCTGGATATGAAATTATAACAAATGGATCTAGCTGTTAAAAAATTCTACAGTGTGGATTGTAATTCTGAATATTAAAATTATAACAAGTGAATGCTTATATTAAAAATTAATTCACAGTTTTTTGTGTGAATTCAGCATAACTTGCCAAGCTTGTGCTAGATTTAACAAGTCTTTGTTATATCCAAATACTCTAAGCAAGCTTAGGGTATTTGGAAACTCAGCAGAACTATAATCCTTGTTATTTCACCTGAAGTGGGCCTCTGAATGAAGCCAAAAATGTTTGTGATTGGAATAATAAATGTGCTGGAAGTTGTATGGTAAGTGTAAACTAGTTAGTAGCTACGTTATACAAACATCTCCAACCCGATATATAATTATAGCTACAACCAACAGACTGCCGAAAATTAGATTTTCGGCAGTCTGTTGGTTGTAGCTATAGCTACATTATAGCCTGATATAATCAGGAAGATTATTTGGCCTTAATCAGAATCAGTTTAATGGATGTTCATATTTGTATTGTTTAAATTACTTAAAAAATAAAATATCTCATAATTTGTAAAGTAATAAACAATCTTTAGTAAGTAATTTTTATGTATGTTAATTATACTCAGAAAATCTGGTGTACTTTAAATAAATAAAATTATCATTATCAACATATATTTTATAAGGGCATAAAATATATGTTTTTCTCCTTAAATTCTGTGATGTTCTAACTTCAATATAAATACAATTTAGATCCAAGTGGATCAAAGTAATGTTGTCCAACAATGCATATTTTGTGTTTATAATTTTTACTGCATATTTTGCAGATTTGACAATTTTTGAGACTAAATAAGTGCTTCGTGAACTTTATAGTTTGTTTACACAATTTAAAAGTGCTATTATTTTTAATGATTCTATAGTCCATTTCTGCTATCTGTGCAGTGAATCTTTTTTTTTTGCACATGTACAATTCACGTGAGAAATATCACTCCACCATCCAATTACTGATGACAGGTGAAAAACTCCAACTTTTATATTTGAACCATATAATTCACATTTTTTTTAAAAGTTCCACAAACAAATATGTTTTGCATTGCCAAGGAAATCTCTTATTTTTCAAATTCAAAAAATCCTTTGAATTAATTGGACTAGAATTATTGTAAGCATTATATTTAAATCTTTCAGAAAACTGTGTAAGTACAATGTTTAATTAAATACAAGAGAGAATTTCTTGTGAGTAAAGTTGTCAAACTTTTATGTATGAAGCACATGCAGAAAATATTCTGTTACATCACTATCTGTTCAATTGACAACATGGGTATAATGGCAAAAACTTAATGCTGAACTGCTAAGAAAGTATAATATGTACAGAAGTTTGGATACTAGACATTTAAAACAAATGGAAAAATCCTTTGTTGTAATGTATAACATAAATCATTTCCTTAGTAAAAAAAACTAGTTTCTCTCAGCACAATAAAACATTAAAATGAACTAAAACAGCAATTCATCACACTTAAGTTCTAGTTGCAATGAAACCCTACAGTTTATAATATCATTTGGAAATGAAATATTACTATTAACTTTGACACTAAATGTATAACTAGTTAATAACTTAATATCAGCATTTACTCATTTTTCATTACTTACAAAAGGCTAAAAACGAAAACATACAACTACTTAGATAAGTGACATAACTACACAAAGAAGAAAATTGATTAACCCAGTCATTCTTAAATATCCTGTAAATAATTGGACAAAGTATATAAAAATAAGTTCAATAATGATTGGTTAGATAGCATAGAAAGTTATAAAATCTTATTGTGCACATATTTTATTTGTGAGTGCACATCTTTGTGAAACATTATTTTAATATGTATTTTGTAATGTCATAATTTTCACATCTCTTGTCATCTATTGTTGTATGTTTATTCCCTCCCACCTAAAAAAATGTGACTTATGATGTTAGTAAAATTTGCTTACAGATAGAAGTAAAATATGTATGTGTTACTGTGAATGACCGATATCTGGCGAATGTCAGCATTCACACAGTCGTTTCGTGTATGTACGAAATATTTGCTAAATATCATTATTTCTCACTTACACCAGCAAATGTCGACATTCAGCATGCACTGATAGTGCGTGTTGAATAAAAATATTTTTATTAGGTTAAGACAAAAATGCAACTTTTTAATATGTCAAAATAGCAAAAAGCTTAAGTAACAGCACATGCAAATAAACTGTTGAACCTAAAACAAACAGTACTTTCTTAATCAGAAAATAAAAATAATACACAATAGCACACTTACACATATATTATGTGATTAACATTATACAATCTTATTTATTGCAACAACTTAAACTGTTATGGCACTTTGAATTTCACAAGAGTCCCTTGCTTTTACAACTGCATTTATTCATGGAACATTTCTTTTTGCAATGACAGCGTGTATAGCCTTGCCCTCCACTTTTCGAATTATCTGCAGCTGCTTCTCTCAGTGATATTTCTTGAGAAGAAATCTCATCTATGGAAAGTAACTTTTCTTTACAAATTACGAACTGATTGCAAATATAAAGTTGCTTGAGGGTACCATTTTTGTTTGTTAATTTATAAAAGTCGGAGTCTTCTATTCCAACAACAACCAACACATTTCGGGCATCTATTGGCCACGGTCGACATTGGGGACTTGTATTCCTACGGTATCACCAATTTGTGACGAAGGAAACAGCAAAGAATTTGGCGACAGACTGTCATCTCTCTGTCGACATCGGCTTCTCGGTTGTCGTTTCGACCTCCACCGAAGCTTATCTGTGCTTGTTGACATACACCGGTGATTGTTTGAATGTATAATAATATAACCAAATATTCGGTCTTTCACCGACGTACAGTAATACCTCGACTTATGCGAACCCGGAGTTACGCGATTTTCAAATCTTGCCAATTCGTCTTTTGTTTGAGCGCCACGTGACTCTTGATTACTCACTCCCCTCACACTATTGTTCAGCTTACATGTTCAGAAATGTCGCCCAGAATCGACACATAGCTACAATTTATTTTGTGTTATTTATTTCTGTGTTTGTTTTATCTATGGAGACTTGAGAGACTCTACTATGTCATCCAAATGAAGTAGAACTGATTCTTCTGCATCAAACAAGAAAAGAAAAACTTTATCTTTGGAATGTAAAGTTAACATTATTAAAGACTTCGATACAAAAATGAAAATTTGTGAATTGGCAAAAGAGTTTGATCTACCGGAATCGACGGTTAGAACAATTACAAAAGGTAAAGAAAAAATTCTCGAAACTGCGAAAAATGCTCAATCTTTAAATTCAAGCATCATTTGTAAACATCAAGGTATTATCACTGAGATGGAAACAATGTTAAAATTATGGTGTGATAAACAAGTAACTGTGAAAAATTGTATGATAATATAATATGTTATACATATGTATTATCTAAGATTTTATTAAACATTTTTTTCTAAATTATTGCTTTTTTTAGTCTCCGGCCCCAATTAAAAATTATTTGTATGTATTTATATGCGAAATTATACCCCGACTTACGCGGTTATCACTTGGTCCCACCAATTGCGTAAGTTCGCAGTATTACTGTATTTTGTATGTGTCGACATTCACCAGAGAATATCGACATACTCTAATTTCGGTCTTTCACAGTAACATATGCATTTCAATCTATAAATTTTGGTGTATATTACTGGTGCTTTTAACTGGTGCTTTTAACAGGCATCATCCATGATTCAAGCATTTTAACATGCATCTTTATGCACATATTTGCAATCTTAAATCTTATTAAATCTGTCTCTTAATACTTTGTAATAAAATGATCCTATTTCATTACAAACTTTACAGAAAAGATAAATAAAGGAATAAACATGTAAAAGGTTAAAAACAAACAATGAATGATTTCAAACAAATTAATTTTCAAATATTTTAATGTTAGTCTGAGTTAATTTGCTTAATGCTTTGATTACAGTAATAATAAAAATGTTAATTTCTTTTTCTTTTTACCAATGTAAAAAGATTGATAAATAAATATATTTTTATATTATTTAATTTGTTAATTATGGAATCTTAGATTTAAACAATTATTTTCTACACAAATAAAGATTTGGTAATCAATATTAATGATTTTACTAAGAGGCTAATTTATTTTGTAATGCTTTCATTACTAAATATTATTATATTTTAAATTAGTAATATTAATATATATATATATATTTGTTACGAAAGAAACAAGTTGCGCGTGCCACCAGAGAAGAAAGGACGTCCGAATGATTTACAAGTGTTGCCATCCCTGGTGGGTGATGTGACACTTGTTCAGCAATAAATGTAAGATTATTTTTGTGTGCCCAAGGAACAGGTCCATCTGAAACCTTTTCTTGGGATTCAGCCTTAAAAAAAATTAAAAGTACACCAACTATTTAAAATATGTTAATGTATTTAAACTTGTCTTCTCAGCTTATAGTTAAGTGTTTAATCTTGCCTAAATATATATTTTTTTTGTTTTTAAATTATGAACTAAATTATTCCCAATTATCTAAAATTATTAATAAATGCTTTTCTTACAGAAAAATTCTTGTCTTCAATAAATTCCATTAAATTAAATTTAACTTAATAGAACTTAATATTAAAACTAAATTGTATATATTATTATTTATGAATAATTTTTTAATTTAACATTACTTATTAAATTTGTTTTAATCAATACCTCAGAATTTTCGACGTTAGGAATGTCCCAAAAGCATCGGAATACTTCTCCCAAAATTGGATTGTATGGTTTCTTAGCAACCGAGCTTTTCCTTCCTGCATGGAATGCTGACATATACCATTTCAACACCTGCAGCATACGATCTTTTGGATCAGGATAATCTGTTATACTAAATAAAGATTTAAAAGATGTATTTATTTTCTTTCAGATTAAAAAAATATTAGGCTATTTAAAAAAGTAAATTTTAAAATACAAAAGCATTTTCCCAGAACTATATTAACTTGTTTTTATTTCTTCAGAAAACTCTCTCCCCTTTTCAAAATAGAACATTTATTTATACAAATTAAATCAATTTACAACTTTTGGAAGCAATATTTAATTTTGATATGAAATTCAGTAAACTCATTCTAATTTTAATTTTAAATGCAAGATTTAAATGATGATATCATAATACTGAACATAGTTAATGGACAAAGAGAATAATACAAGGAAATCTATATATATATATATATATAAAGTGGTGGTAGCCCCAAGTCTCCACTCGTGCATAGGGGTGGTTGCGTCTCGATAGCTATAAGGGTGCGAGAGATATGAGGCTAAAAGTGGTTGAAAGTGGCTTTCTATTTCGAATGTTTTGTTCGATTTTTTCGAATTTGTTTGAATTAAATTCGAACATAAAATTCGAATTGGTTCGATTATAGAACGATTGAAAACGTTCCAGAAACGTTGAAATTTGTTCGTTTGACTAAACATAAAAATTCTCTAATTAGTCTGGAAACAGGGGACCTAATTCTTGCATTCTGTGAAAACGGGTAAGATTATCTATAATGTAATTATCTTAATCTTCATTATCGTTACTTTTTGCCCAGCGAAGCGGGTCCTTGCAGCTAGATTCTAGATTACTTAGAAAAACAGTCTTTTATATATATATAAAAACTATATTACATAAAAATAAAAACCCAGCGAAGCGGGTCCTTGCAGCTAGTATTAATATATTTCTATTTATATATTTTTACATACTTATATACATAAAAAGAAAAATATGATGGAGATAATTCTTTTAATAATAAAGCCTTTTAAGCATTAAAAAAATTGCAATTTTATGCCATTCGTACAATACTAATATAACCAGGCATAAGTGTAAAAAAGTTTTTATTATTAACAAGCAATTATTTTATTGTGACCTCATCACAATGCCAGGCTGTAATTTTTTATCATATTTTTTAATTTATTTAATTTAAAATATATGCGCTCCACCTCAAATTAGTAGTGGCTTGCCCCTGTACATCATACTTTTTCTTTAGCAATTGAGTTGTGCCAGTCATCTATCTAGCTCCTTTCAGTAGAAATTTTTGAATTGAAATAATATGATTTCCAGTTTGCAACATAAGTTTGTATATAATTAATCAGGGCCTCCTGCCCCTAAGCTTTCCATATCTGGTCCCGTCTTTCATCTATCTAACGCCATTCTTGAGATTAAGGAAAGATGGGCAGACAGATGGATGACAAGGAAAATATATAAGTCTACAATTTTTTAAAATTAGACATATATTTTCTATAATAAATTCTAATATATTATATTAGAATTTATTTTAAAATTGCAGCCCAGTAAAATAGAACATTCATAACCAATAATCCTCTGTTAAAAAATTATTAAAAGAAAGTTATTAATAGAAAACTAATGTTTAGTTAAATAAAGCTGTTTACAACAATTATATATTAATTAATTTTCATTTTTTATTATAATTTAAAAAATTTATGAAATAATTAATAACAAATGAAATAGTCTTTCTTTAAGAATATTATAAATAATTATTTTGTTTATAATAACTTATAAGCTATATTTTTCATTATATTTATTCAATAAAGCTTTGAGGTTTACACTTTATCACTCCAGTGATGCAGATATAAACTTCAGTGTTTACTTTGTAATGTATCTTTGTTGAAGGCAATTATTGTATGAGTGGCAACAGAAGTGACAATGCTCTTTGACAAAGGAATAACATATTCTACTAATTCAGAATAGTGTACACTTCTAAAATTTATATTCTCCCCATATTGAGAGTAATGCCTGATGTAGCTCCTTGATTAATGACATGAACTGATGCCAATGCAGTTGATTCAACCAATGACTGATTCAAATTTTGTTGATATGTGGGACTTGTAAATTACACCAACAGAATAAGGTTTTTGGTTTGGATGGCCAATCTTAGACTTTCATTCTTAGTTCCTTATTATAAAGGTAAAAAGCAATGACAAAGAACCATCATCATTTGGGATAATCTTGATAAAGGAAAGTGTCCATCTAAAAATGTTAGTAAATAAAAATAATAAAATTCATGGCCAACGTTATTTACATTTAATACATAAAAATATAAATACGACTTTTTAACAAAGTTAAAACTTTGTGTCTGTCCTCCTTTTCACCGTTTTCACCATCAGCAATACTTGCGAACACGAAAACGTTTTAATACATTTTTATTTAAAATGTATTATTGTGAATGTGGCAAGAACACCAGAGGACACTTTACGTATTTTTACATTTTGTTGCAGAGGTAGTAGCCTCAAAAGGAAGGTCACCTCTGTAAATTTGTGAACTTTTTAAAGTATTGCTGATGGTGAAAATGGCGAAAAGGAGGACAGACACAAAGTTTTAACTTTGTTAAAAAGTCGTATTTATATTTTTATGTATTAAGTTAGTAAAATTTTTTTAAAAATTTTAAATTTAACAAAAAGAAAAGGAAGGTACAGAAATTAATATTTTCAAATCCTCAGAACTGAACAATTTTTATCAATACTAATACAAAGTAACTTTATGATTTTATGAAATAATAATAAAAAAAAACTAAAAAGTTGGACCTTTTAATCAAATCCATCATGGGTTCAGCAAGATGGTAAGGATCTGGGACAGATCATTCCTGGAGAATTTTTGAATTTTCCAATCTGGCTGGATTTATTTGACCAACAGAGTGGTAAGCTGTCAACTTAACCATTTGGCTGGATGGCCAAATGGTTGAGGTAAAAAGTTTAGCCAAAATTTAAGCAAAAAGTTGAAATTAAAATTGAAAGTCTTAACTGTCACTTTTTTTATTTTAAACTTAAAAAAATTATATGATTGCAATGCAAAATTTACAGCTTATTTAACTATAGTCTGAAATCCTAAGCTAGTCCACATCAGCTCAACTATTTTTAAAAATCTGGTGTTGAAAATTTAAAGTTCTAACTCTTAATCCAAGAAATGATAAAATTTAAATTGCTTTTACTCATGAATGATGATCAATTACACCCACTTTCCTAAAATGCTACTTTATTTTAATTCTTTAAATGCATAATCTGCAAAAATCAGCTTAATCCGTTCAAAACAAAATCGGCTGATGGAAAAGTTGTTTAACTGGTTTTCTACCCAAATTCTTCTATCCAAACTCCTTTTAGCTTGAAGGGTAAAAACAATTTAGTTTTCATGAACATAGAAAGACAAAATTTTCAGAGCTTAAAGAGTTAATTAATACACCTTATCCTGATAGCAAAAGCTCTTCCAAAATCATATCTACAAACATGCAACCTTTCCTTATGTGACATTTCATTACTATTAGTTTAATTACTTAGAAATTAATTGTTTAGTAAGATGTAAATACTCATACTTTTGAAAGTAAAGATAGAAAATACTAGCAATCTATTTTATATATTTGTATCAATGCATTGTATACATTAGAATACCAGATGTTTTAACTTAGATAATAAGAATAAAAATGATATACATTACCTATAACTTCATACTTACATGATATTTTGGAAACTTAATTTGTATGAAAATTGGCTAATGCTAAAAATATCTTGTTTTTTTTTAATGTAAACTCATTCAAAAATAAATTTTCTTAAAAATATTTTATTTATTACATTACTATATTAACTTATATTTGAATCCATCCAATTCCATTATATTCTGTTTAAAATTTTTAAAGCTTGACAAAGTCCTACCTTAAAAGTTCTCTTAATTTTAGCTTATTTTAACAGTCTGCAATAATGTTTTTTAAATTTATTTTTCCTATTAAATTTAGATTTAAATTTGAAATACTTCAATTTAAAGGAAACAGAAATGATTTAACATCTTAAACATACCTAATAAACAAATCTGGATGAGCAAAGAAATCAGCATACATTTCCAGGAGGGAACGTCGTTCTAATATGAAAGTTGGCAAAACAACTTTTGTAAGATCCATACCTATCTTTAATTGGGAAAGAAGATGACTTATAACACTTCCCTGACCACCAACAGAACCTACTGTAATTAAAAATATATCATATAATTTTCCAAACTAAAAATACAATACATTTAATATAAAGTGCATTCTCACTAATCCAAACTAATTATTGTAGGAAATGTTCAGATTAGCAGAGTTATACATAAAGAAAAGAAAGTCAAAAAGGATTACAGACAAATGCATGTACTGTACTTGATATTTATAATATTAAATTGTACTACATATTAATTTTATAAATTTGTTGGGTTTTAAAATATTATCTACAATTTTTTTTACTGGAACGTTTAGCAGAAAAGTAAACAAAATTGGTTTGGATTAAGCAAATTTTAGATTAGAATAGGTTCAGATTAACAAAAGTGCACTATATAAATACATATAAATAATCTTTTAATTAATATACATATATATTTATGCTTACATATTTAAAATTTAATGCCAAAATAAAAAAGTTATTCAAAACAGGAAAAAAAATTGAATTATGAATTTGCAAAAATTAAAATGAATTTAATTCCAAATTAATTTTCAGAAACTAAAAATTATATTTGAAAAATTAATTCTATCTTTCAAACATCATTAAAAATATTTATTAATAAAATTATGCAGTCTTAAAAATTACTTTTTCTTATAATGAAGTATTAAATTTATATTTTAATAACTCAATAACTAAATTTTTACTGTAAATACTTGTCTCTTTAATCCAAAAAGAATTACTTCGGTAGACTATCCCACAGCACAATAGCTGTGTGATAGTCTACCGAAGTAATTCTCTTCAGATTAAAGAGAGAAGTATTTACAGAATGAATAAAACAGCTACCATAATACATATTTAAAATAAACTAAATTTTTAGTTTATATATCAGTATGTCACTTATAAATACCACATGCACTCAATTAGACCCACAAATTTAAATTACCCCACATCTCAGTCACATTTAAAAAAAATAAATCCACAGTATTTGCATAAATCCATATGTAGATTTTTTCAAACCATATTTTCTAAGCTACATATTACAACAAATAACCTATTGTAATTGTGTATATTATTGCATCATATTTCTAGCTCTCTGTGTTACTTTTTAGATTTATTTTTTGGTTTTCATTTAACAATCCCTGTGGCTATTCACTGCAACATACAAAAATCAATTTTATAAAAATAAATCCACAGATTCAATTACTTTACAGGGATGAATGAACCCACACTTTAAATTTAAAAAAAAAAAAAGACTCATATTAGGTCTATTCAAATGCATATGGTAATAAGTTAGGAATAACTTATATATTTTAAAAGTTTTACTTACAATCCTCTTCATCATCATCTTCATATATTGCTAAAAAAATTGAATGGTTAAATTACAAATCTTTGAAAGTGTTTCCATTTAACATACAACAAATAAAAATGTAAATCTATAAAATTTCTTGTATTTAAGATTAAATAAAATGTTTAGGTAAAAATGTAAAAATAAAAACAATCAAAAGGCATGTTATCCATTTAAAATGTTCAAGAGTTAGAAGATAAAAAAATGTCTTCTTATCCTTTTAACACAGTGGTTCCCAATTAGTTTTTCCTGCATACCACTTCAAGAAAGAGCTCAAACTCGCGTATCCCTTATAGCAGAAATTCATATTAATCCATATTAATATTATAAATTCAAAGGTAATTCTGCTTATCTAAGCCACTGAACAGGTTTTAATAAAATTTGGCACAGAGATAGCTTACATGTTGGAGATGGACATAGGCTACATTTTACTGCGAAAAAATATCTTACTCTCATGAAAAAATTCGATATAATACAAGCGAAGCTGTGGGTAGACAGCTAGTGATAAATAGAATAAGTTTTTTTACATTTATTACCTTTAAAATACAATTCTAATGATAATGAAAATAACATAAAATTATTTAATTTTAATGCGATAAATGTACACAATTTTCTTTGCACAACTTTGTAAAATCTGGTTGCTTTTTGGTCAGATTCAGTCTCAAGTCATCTTCGAGTTGAAATCGGTGATGAAGTTTCGTTGCTTAGTTTTCATGTTTGTCATGGCTGAAAACCCACTCTCGCAGAGGCATGTTGTGCAAAATAGTAGTAAATATTTTATTGCTGCTTTGCTGACATGATAATAATGATAATTGTACAATTTTTGTTTCTTGTGTAAGAATTTCATTTAGGTATTGTCACAAATGCATTTTTTTAATGAAATTTCGAAAATATTTTTAGTTATAAATAAACAAATTTGTGCATTCGACATCATGTTGTAAATTGCTGAATTTTTGATGGTCCACCCATTATTTTTTTGATTGCTTCATCTCATGCATTTAAATTTTGAATCGACCGATTTTAGATTGCCGCTTGTATCCCCTCATGCAATTTCGCGTACCCCGGGGTACGTGTACCACTAATGGGAACCATTGTCTTAACATATAAAAAAAGTATTGCAAATAGTATGTCTCTTTTTACTCTTGCTACCTTGTGGGCATTAAGAGAGCCTTAAAAATTACATAAGTGACAGTGACACTCATTTTGATATTACTCCACCATTTTAACCACACAAAATAGATAGTAACTGTATACAGCGAGGTCCTGTACAATGCAGGGGATACATTCCATGTTATAAGAAATTGTGTTAGAGACATGAATTAACATATAATTTTATGCAAGTTTAAACTTAGATCTAGAAGCTGAAGAAGAAAACGTCCTCTGGATGACAAAATTAGAATTTCATACGAGTACTAGTCGCAAGTTTTTCGTCGCATTATACGTAAGTTCACTGTAACTTTCATAACCACAGTCATTAAATGTTTAATTTAAAAATCAGTATTGCAATTCTTAATGTTTTCATTGTTAGAGCAATTTGCATTCTAAAATTTATACAGTTTTTGTTAAGTTTTCAAAGATAAAACTTCATATTTATACTAATGTATTTAATATTTTTATTGTTGTTTATTTGATTTAGATACATTAATTTAAAAAAACTAATGCACTGCAGTATATCAATCATTTTAATATCAATTCTAAACAATACATTAGCCATATCTGATATATCTGTATATATATATATTGTATGTATGTACATTACTTTTATATACATGGAAAAATCAAAAAGTTTGAAGACTTGGCACATAGTTCCTTTCCTTGAATAGTTTAGTTTATGTTATTAATAGAAAGACTATTGTAAAATATTGGTCAGGAGAACTGGGATCATTTCTTTTGAATAATATGATGCCTAAGCCAAGATAGCTAACAGTAGACAAAGAAGAATATTCATTTGTGTATACAAATCAACTGTGAAGATATTTACATGGTTATTCAAATCTTTCCAGAGAATCAAAGATCATATGACAAGGCCATATTTGATAAATGGGCACATATATGGACATAATGTTAATATTAGTCTTTGTTAAAATTAACCAGGAACATAATCAAATCTATCTATAAAGAATAACTTATCCTGAGATTTATTTTCAATTCATTAAAGTACTTATATTGTATATGAAGTAATTTTATAAGTTTTACATAACTAAATTTTATGTAAATAGATTTATTTTCTTTCTTTTTCTCTTGTTTTTTTTGTAACTTAATAATAATTTCTTATGGCAAATATTTTGCTGAATACAACTAGTTTAACATAATATACATCCCAAAAATTTATTTTTATCTTAATGCAAAATTTTCGAATATCTTTACAAATCTTCCATTCTAAAAATCAAGCTTTTATAGGTGAAAATATTTTGTAATTAATTAATAAGTTTTTAAATATTTCCTTCATTTTTTAAACTCATTTCATTTCCATAAATGCAATTAATTTTTAATAGTTTTCTTCTTTGGATTTTGGAATTTATTGATCTAACTGTGTTTTTAGACATAAATTATTTGAACTGAACACAATATACTGAAATATAATACATAGATATATAAATTGATATATTCACTCTTGATTACCAAGCATTTATTTTCTTAACTCTTTAAATCAAAGGGTACGTTCGTAAAGTCGAACGAGTTAAACGAGAATGATGTCATCGTTATTCTTATTTAGTTAGACTTTTCGAACGATTCGTTTATAACTAAATGGCTGTTTCTAAAATCGATGATATGAATGTTGTTAGTGCAGCCTTATCCGAAATATTTTTCTTAAATTTCTTCGGGTGGACAGTTATTTCAATCATTTCATCTTTTAATTCACAATTTAAACACTCGAGTAGATTTAGAAACATCGATTTCGTCGGCCGCCATTTTCTTAACGAAGTGAACTAACTCTTTCCTTCGTGAACTTCGTTAGAGTTTCGTTCGAAACGTCATCACCGCAGAGCATGCGCACTGAGCGAGACTACTACTTTTCGAACGATTCGTTACTAACGCGTTTAACTCGTTCGACTTAACGAACGTACCCAAAGTTAAACTGATATAATTTCTACTAACAACCTTCTCAAAGCATTCACTAATTTTATTAATATCTTTATTTTTCAGTATTTGACATTTTTTTATCTATTGTAATGCAATTTGAATATAACTTAATCATAATTTTTTTCAAAAAAAAAAAATTACTACTATATCAAAGAAGTGTGTTTTTTATAATTCAACAAGAGATGCTTTCCTCCTATTCAATTACTGTACTAAACTTCATTAAGAAAGGTTAGTAAAAGGTTAATAATTTTAAGAAAATTGTATTTATGTAATTTGTATTCAATTAATTGAAAAAATTAAACTAGATTTAATTAAATTTTAGACTTAAATAAAATTTAGACTTTTTTAATCCTGCTCTTTCTGACAAATCTTATCAAAATTCTAACATTACTTCATGCAATGTTTCTAATGTCTTCAGTTTTCTCTGACATTCTCTCATTTCTGCTATAAAATTTTATTTCTATTATTTTATTGTTATATATTACATCAGTTGTATAAAAATTATAATATCCCTACATGTTTTGTTAAATTTAAACTTTTTACACTAAACAATACTGTATCCCCTTAATTATTAAAATTTAAAATGTTATTAACAACAAAAAATTCACTTCACACTAATATAGATTTTAAACAGCAATATCTATTTTTCTGAAAACAAACAAATATTGCAATTTCTTAAGAAAGTGCAATGAAATTATTGATTTTCATTCTTCTTATATAAGAATATAATTCTTATATAATTTAACCTTATAACAAAAATTGGCATATTTTTATAGAAAATTTAAATTGTTGTTGTGTGGAATATATTTATCAATTTTTTTTATATACAAATTTCAAAATAAAAATTTAGAGATTAACAAATAAATTTAAATGATTTAAATACTTGATTTTTTAAAAACTATTCAATTAAATTCATTCAAAATTTTCTCTAACTTATATGAAAAGGGGCATAACTAAACATCTATTTAACCTTTTTCCAAGTAAATATGATTAGAAATAAAGCAACATTTCAGTAATATATTAAAAAAATATATTGAAATTATCAACAATACCATCATAGTCAATTCTTTTCTCTGTTCCTGTTATTGGATTAAGTCTTAACTTATCATCACACATATTTTCTACAGCATCTTCAAATACTCTATGGCTACTGAAATTTTTATTATAAAAAAATTAATGAATCAACATTTAAATCTTATTTATATATTTAAAATATCTAAACAACTACTACTAATTATTAATTAACTTAATAAATGATAATTACACCCTTGACCACATTTATTATATCCTGTGTTCAATTATTTTAGGAATTAATCTATTTAATTCACATATGCATTGACACAACAGAAATAAAATTTACTAATTTTTTCATATTTTTGCTGGAACTTTAAATGTGAATGTTGGCATTTTTCTTCAACAGACTAACTGTATTTTTCAAAACATTTGGACTTTTTCCCACTAGATCGCTACTTTTTTAGAATAATCAATATTTTACAAAGTAGGTTTTAACAAAATTAGATTTAGCTGCGTCTTTAATAGTTTATAAATATCACTGTAATATACATCTAGCATACATAAAATTATATAACTGAAGCTATCAATAAATACATAAATATTTATTGATAGTCTTTTAATTTAACATACACACACTCCTTATACAGAAACAAACTACTAAACTATATATATATATATATTATATAACATTGAAATATTTTTAAAAATAATCGTTTAAACTTAAGTAAATTAGAATTTTACAAAAGTTATACACAATTTTCATTTAAAAAATTAATTTAAAATTACATTTAAGAAATATTAAGAAATTCATAAATCTTAAGAATAAAATTTTAAAATATGAAATGATTTTTCTGTAGTATGTTATAAAAATTAAATCATAAAGTTACAAAACTTGGCACCATTATTATAACAACAAAACAAACAGGCTATTAATGTTAAGGTTAGCAAAAGTATTTAATTACACATGACCTTGATTTAGGTCATCTTCAGCAAACAGCTATTTTGTTTTTCTTTATTCTTGTCTACAATGTAGATACATATGTAATACACATATTTAGACTTATCTACACTGTACATATTTATGTACATATAATGCATATAGAAAAACTTTTTCTGCAAACTAGACTGTTCTATAACACAAAATACGTTACAAAAGACCTAAATCCTTCCAGTAACAATGTTTTAGCAAAATACAAATGTTTTTGATCATCTCCTGAGATCTGCATCATGTTTAAAGATACAGGTTCTATAATGGAATGCATCAAATGGAACGTCTGCAGAATTTGAATTTATATATAATTAAAATTCAAATAGATTATAAGAAATTCTGCAGAATTCAAATTTTAACAATATAAATTTGCATTCTGTTACTGAAAGGACTTAGGTTTTTTGTTGCGTATTTTGTGTTATACAAGAATAAAGAAATATAAAACAGCTGTTAGATGAAGATGACCTAAAGATTTCTAATTAAATACTTTTGTTAACCTTAATATTAGCAGCCTATTTGTTTCATTATTACTATAATCCCTCTGTTAAGTAAATTTTTATAACACTTTTAGAATTTAAAATATNACTCAATCAGTCACTCAGTCAGTCAGGACAAGTAATTTTATATATTTATATTTACATATATATATATATATATATATGTAAATAATATTTAAAACAAAAATATTTTCTGATTATAAAAGAATGTAAAATGTAAATTTTATACAACAATGATAAAGCATTATTGAATTATGTATATTCTTGCGGAGTGATTCTTGGCAATTTACTGGAGACAGACAGACAGCCTTTTTGTATTATATAAAAAAATTTTTTGACTGCCATGTGAACTTTACTCACATCTCAAAACATATGAGTAAAGTTCTAGCTCACATCTCAAAAATAGGCTGTTATCAATTTTAATATCCTATCAATGGCCCTTGTGCACTGTTGTTGACAAAATAACCAAAGATTTTTCTTCTCATCATTTTCCTATAAGAATTATACTTGATTTGATTAGAACTAATATAAGTAAGAATGTTTGAATTTGTCAAAGGAGATCTTTTTTCTTGAAATGGAAAACTTAGGCTGCAAATGCTTTCACACACAAAATCTTGTTCTTTACTCAGAGAAAATTGGTTTGAAGATCTAAAACTCCCAATACTGGGGAATATTTTCCTTAAAATTGAGTATTTTCTATCAGAAATGTTGGTATCTTTTTTTTTTTGAAAACTGTTAAGGCTTTACACATGCAAAACAAAGTCATAATTTTATTTCTAGACACACTAAATTCAATAAAAACAGTCCCTGGTTTAATAATGAATACAAGAATGTGAAAAGAAGAGCTAAAACTTTCCTACAAGATTGAAGCTTGACAAGAGATCCTGCTTCTTTGAAGCAGGATCTCTTGTCAAGCTTCAATCTTGTAGAAATTTAAAAAATAAAAATATAAAAAATAAAAATATGTACAAAAACACGTGTAAATCCAAATGACAACATTATAAAAATTTAATTAAGTTGTTAAAACACATCAGAAATGCCTCTTTTTTTTGGTCTGTGGTGAATTAATATAAAAAAAATCATACAACCAATTTATGTGACTATTGTTTCGTTAGAAAACTCATTGGTCACTTTTGAATCTAAATATAAATGAGGGAGTGAGTTGAATTTCCTTCCTTAAATAGTTCATTTGACAAGTCTTTTAAAATTTGAATTTGAGATATCATCTTTTCCAATTCTAAGTGGCAAGACACTGGGTTCTGATAACATTTTACTCAAATTTGTAAAAAATGTCAATTTAGAATCCATATATTTAATTTTAAAGTGATATTTTTATCAGAGTTAATTCCTAAAACCTGGAATTTCATAGTTTAATTTATAAGAGAGGTGATTAATTGGATTCTTGTAATTACAGATCAATTGCTCTGTGATCAATCAGTTTATAGGAAAATCATCTGCCATTTATTAAAAAAACAGATTAATAGCTTGGGTGACTGAGAAAGATCTTCCTGGTCCATTTCATTTTGCTTTCTCAATAAAATAAGGGAACATTAAGTGTAATCTTTGTCCTTTCTGGTTCACTCCAATTCTCTTGCAACCTAAATTCTCACCAACCAGCTTTTTTGGTGATCTATCCAAAAAATTTGATTCTGTAAATTTAAATAAATTAGCATCCCAGCTGGTAGATTTAGACCTTCCTGCTAAAGTAGTTAGACTAATATACTCTTATTTGTTAAATTTGATATAGTAATCATTAGAAAAATTTGCATTTTAATATTTTTCAAATCCCAGGAAGCCTGCCTCAAGGAGATCCTCTAAGCCCATACTTATTGGATTGCAATTTAAAAAATTGTAACTTGTACATTCCCACTGTCATCTGTCTGTCTGTCTGTCTGTCTTTCCTTAATCTCATAGTTAGATACATAAAAGTCAAGATCAGATATGGAAACCTTTGTGGCAGGAGGCCCTGATTAATTATATAAGAACTTCCAATGTAAATCAGAAGTCACATTATTTCATTTCAAAAATTTTCTCCAGAAGGTATTAGACAGATGACTGGCACAACTCTGTTGTTAAAGGAAAAGTATGATGTACAGAAGCAAGCCACTACTAATTTGAGGTGGAGAATATATTTTAAATTAAATAAACTAAAATTGCAGCCTGGCATTGTTTATTCTATATTGGTCTGATTTGTTTACCCATGGATAATTTTAGCCTTTCTTTTTTAATTTATGCAGCTATTATACTGCTTTCAAGAAAGAAAACGGAATTATAAAGAAAAATTGACAAGCTCTCTAAATATTGTGAAAGAAAACACCTTAAATTCCATATTAACAAATTGAAAATTATGATATTTTTGACATGGAGGTCAACTACAAATATCAGATAAATGGGATATTAATTGAGAAAGTTAATAAATTTAAATATCTAGATGTACTCTTTGATTCTCATTGTACTTTTCATTTTCATTATAAATATGTTATCTTGCAAACTATTGAAATAAATAAAGATTTGATTCCTTGTGCACCAATATGAAAGTTAGTTCAATAAAAGTAGCATGTTGGTCATTTAGTTCAATATATTTAGATAAGTATTTGCTGTATAGAAGCAACAATAAAAGTTTTCACATCTTGTCCTTTCTCACAACCTCAGGAATAAAACAATCTTCACGAGCGAAGCAACCTTTTCTTTGAGGCTTCTCATCCGCCTTGTTATGTAAAAACGTTAAAATACAATTAATTACATTAATTTATAGTCCTTGGCAATTTTAATTTATTTTTGTATTAATTAAAATATTGTTTAGATAAATGTTTAGAAAGTTTTCACCTGGTAAAATACTAGCTACTATAAAAAAAAAAAAGCTCTCTTCAAAATTAAGTTTTCACATTAGAATTACTCCTGGAATTAGTTCACCAACATTATTACAAAGGCAAACTTTAGTTGGAGTCTAATTTTTGAGAATAGTAAGAACTGTTGAGATTATCGTTCTAAGTTTAAACTGTTATAGTTGTTTAGATATATTCAGTTGGACCAAGAAAAAGTAAATAAATCAGTATTTCACCTGTGATATTCAGAAGGTTTAGTACATGCTCATTATACTTTATTGTGATCTTTATTATGACACATCAACATTACTAAAAAATCAAACTGAATAAGTTCCAAATTAAATACAAAAATTAAATATTCTTTTGTATCTAAATTTGTGTTCATTCTGCAAAGATCCTAAAAATTCTGACTAACTTTTTTCTAAACTGTGCAATGTTTCAAAAGCAGAAAAAAATTATTACTTGGAGAAGAATTATTTAAGACTCAAGAGTAAAATTATTCATTATATTTTATTAATTTATTTTAATTTTCAAATAAAATATGCAGAAAAAATTGTATTATACATACTCAAATTTAGTAATTTCCATCATTCTAGTCTAAAAAATAACATGTTATTTCTGAAGCCTCCATGCCTCAATTTTTATATATACACACACACACACACATGTACGTATGCATTACTAAAACTGATAGTAGAATATTGATTTCACTTAAAATATTGTAGAAAAATGCCAAAAATAATTATAGAGAAAAATATATTTATATATAATATATATGTTTTGCAATGTGTGTAGATGTTTAAAAAAATTATATATATATATATNATCCGACTTCTTGTGCCATCAGAAGGCCTTTTAAACAATATATATATAATTTTTTTAAACAACTACACAGATTGTAAAACATATTTTTGCCACTACTATATTTAATCTTATACCAAATCAAACGATTGCCATAATCAATCTAGATTAATTACAGCAATCGTTTGGTTTAGTATTAATATATCAGGCTTTAGGATGTTTACTCTTATACTTCAAACTATTAAAAACAGAATAAAATTTATATTGTAAACTACTTTCTGCTTAAAAATTATACAATTTCAAAAAATGTTTTTAAATCTGCAAAAAGATTTTTAATTCTAACTTTAATTTTAAAAATATATTAAATTCAAAAGTTAGAGATTTATGTTAAAAACAAAATACCAGAAATTCATAGTTTAATAGATTTTTATACAATGAAAAATTAGTTAATTGAAAATTCTACAAAGATTTTATCATCACATCAGAAACGTGTTACATGCTGAAGTGAATTTTATAAATATTAAATCAAAAAAATTAAAACCAAAAACCTTTCACTAAACCAAATCATTATTTAATCTTAGAATCAGTTTAAGATCACAGACATTTATCATAAGGTGATTCTCTCACTAAGAAACTCAAACATTTCTCAATAACTCATGTACAAAATTGTTTGGATGCTAAATGAGGCAATTTTCAATATCTGCTTTAGAAAGACCTTGTTTTGCAAGAAGGTAAGTGCATATAAATTTTATAGGAAGCTATAATATAATATAATAATATATAATATAAGTTATTGATGAACGTTTGGGTTTCCTAATAAGAGAATCACCCTGTAGTTAAATATTTTAACCATTAATAAATTACATACATCTTTTAATTAATATAAATCGTATATCAATAAAGATGTTCACTGCATTAAAATAATATGTTATTTAAACTTAGAAAAATTTGAAATACAGTGAACCTCGATTATCCGGACCTCTATTATCTGGATTTTTGATTATCTGGATTGTTCAAATAAACAAAAATTTTACGAATTTGCTGATTTGCACTTGGTGAATTACGATACTGTTTATGTATGTGATGGAATGCATAACTTTTTTTGTTTCAACAACGTCTCACCCAGCACAGTGGTCGTAAACTCTTAAATATATTTTGCGTCATAATAAAAATATAACTTGACATACGCATTTATAAATAATTTATATTCAAATTACATCATTTCTATGACCAAGGGCGGCATATGGGCAACGTGGGCCCTCACCAATGCCTTGCGGTCCGACGGGTCTCGTGCCTTGAAGGTTTATGCATCACTTAAAAGCCGCGAACGCAACGAAAAAGTTTTACTCGTCATAAAACGATAAATAGTTTGTCAAATTTTTATTCATAAAAATGCAGTTTCAACTGCTTTTTATTTTATAAAATCCGACTTCTTGTGCCATCAGAGGGCCTTTTAAACAATAGGTAGTCTGTTAGCGTTGGTCAGTAGTAGTCCAAATTCAATACAAATGTTTGTTTCTTGAAAATTTGATCACGATTTAAATACAGTATTTATTTTTAATATTACTGATATGTCATCAAAAAGAAAACATGTTGTATTATCATTAAAAGACAAATTAAAGTATTTGTTTCAATTATCCAAATTTTTCCTTATCCGGACTACCTTCATCCCCAATTAGTCCAGATAATCGAGGTTCTACTGTACTTTAAAAATTTGCTTATTAATCAAAGTATTTTACTCATAATGAATTCTTTTTATCTATAATGAATAAATAACATAATTTTAAAATAAAATAATTGAAATTATTAAATAATATTTACAATAATTCTTCAATAAGAATTATTTTCTGATATCATAAATGCATACTGATTAAATTTTAAAATAAAATAATTACAACTAAATAGGTTTAATTGTATTAAAAAATAATCAGAACAATACTATCACGAAAATTATTACCAATAAGTTTTAGTTAATATATATATTTTATTAATAGTACAAGCTACAGAACAAGCTTACAATTCAGTAAAACATAAATATTTACTTTGGACTTTGTAAAGATGTTCCAGCATCTTCAGTGGCATCAAAGTAGTCATCATCATCACTACTTGAGTAAGATGTTTCAGGTACAAAGAGTGTCAGATGTGTAGCAGGAGCAGTTGTGACATGAGGTAATTTTTCTTGCACTTCTGAAATTTTATAAAATTCCAATCTGTTATATGTAAGATTTTTATGTAATTAGTAATTTAACTAATTAATAAAAATTTATTAATCATGCAAATTAAAATCTTTATGTTAATTTACCCTGTACAGTTGCAGGAATAGAATCTTTGCTACAATTAAGAGAAGAAGGAACTGAGGCACTTCTTGTTCCTTCATTTCCTAATGTATCTTCTAAACATTCAGTTGCACAATCAATACCAGTTATTGCTGTTTCACTGACAAATTTTTGTGCAGCAATTAAACTATCTACTAAAATAATAATTTTTATTCGACTTTAAATCATTAACATTTTAATGTATGTTAGTAATTAAACATTACCATTTGCTTTTGACAATATGGATGGAGGTGCTAAATGATTGGAAGGAGCTTTTTCTGGTCCTGTATAAGAATGGTAAACACCATTCACAGGATGCGTTGTATTCTAAAAAAAATTAGTCAATTATTTATATAATTTAATAAAAAAATTTCAATAATAATACTGCTTAATAAAACATTTGGTTCAATAGAACAATGACCACACTTTATAATTTTCAGCCATGCAAGCAACTTCAACAGCTATTCTTAATAACTAGCAAACCATCTCCCACCAAATGTTATGTAAATATACTTTATGTAAATTTTAAGCACACATTGAATGAGCAAATACTTTCATGTCATTGTGACTATTCAAAATAACAATAAACTGGAATTCTGTAATGGAATCTCAACTAACAGAAATGACTCACAATACAAAAAATAAAAATTTTATAGATATTATATTATCAATTACTATAATGGTTTATTATTTTTATCACTATGTTGTTTGTAATTTACACATGCTAAAAACTATTAATATTTTATTAGTCAATTTGTAAGCATACTGCAACTGTCTCAAATGTATATTTGTTAGCTGCTTATGCAAATTACAGTTGTGGTTACTTATTGTATAATTTGCTAGCAAAATGCTAGCAGTTGTATCAACTGTAAAATATGATTGCATTTCAAAGAAAACATCTACATTCAGAATGTAAAACAGTGCATATTCATTTTTCTTGAATATTGATTTAAATATGTATATAAAATATATGTAAGTAGTTTAATAAACTAAATAATTATTTCAGAATTCTTAAAAATAATTTACAGGAAATTATAAATATTTCATCTAAATCATTACTTTTGATGTATTCTAGTTTACATTATTTTTTGCTCATCAAAACTTTGCTATCCTAACAAAGTATATTTTTAATGTATTCCCTAATAATTCAGACATTTTGTAAAAAATGTTTTATTAAAACAAACTAATAATAATCATAATATTTATTATGAACATAATAAAATCCACTAGTATGTTATTGAATGCTTCTGTATGGATAAAATAAAAATGACATAAAAAAATAATTATTAAACTTAAAAACTAATCTTTTACATATGGTAAACAGTTGAAAGTATAACATGGTAAATGAAAAGTACTTTGACCTGGAAGAGAACAACAGGCTGAACAAAGGATGATAAGTGAGCTTATGATAGAAATAAAAAGCACATGTATAAAAATTTCAATAGAAAAAAATTCATATGTAATATTAAATATGTTATAATACATGGAATCATCATATATCTCATAATAAGCCATATTGCCAACTTGAATTTTGTTTCTTTTAGGTTGCTAAATCCTTTGTAACTTCATAAATGTGAAATAAAGTCCATGAAAAATCAAAGATTTAAACTGAATTTGAACTTCTACTTTGATAGTAACCATTCATAAAGGATTCGCCTAAGATATTTTCCTTTCCTTCAATTGCATCTTTGTTTGGATGAGCAATTTGAGATTACAGTTTAAGGACTTAAAGCAAAGAATAAATGTCCAAGATCTGAAATTTATTGGACCTTTTTAATATTAATAACCAATAACTTCAGAAAGAATCTAAAAGTTTTGTCTAATTTTATGTGATATAAGAGAATAATAAACTACAATTAAAGCAAAATGTGCACTTGTCTGTTAAAATAAATACTCTTAATTTATACGCTTGTAAAATAGAAAATGTATAATAAAACCTTATATAATAGTGCTTTGTGTGAATTACCATCGTACTGTACAGTATTATTGTTTGAGCTAAATTGTTTGAGCCAAATAATATTTAAATTTATTTATTTTATATTTATCATACACACACATTCACCAAAAATGAAAATTATACTAATAATACTTTATTTTAAATCTTTTCATTTGTTTCATACATTTAATACATAACTGGATAGTCAGAGTTGAATGAATACTTAATTATTTCAAATGATTACAAAAAAATTAATTGCATTTATTGCTTACCTTGGCAATTTGTAAAAGTACAATTGAATGTTTAATAGTTTCTAACATTGCCTGAAATAAGAATTTCAAAAAATTATAAATTAGTTAAATATATTATCAAATTTAAATTAACACAAAACAAATATCCAAAACCTGCTTTATTAGACAACCAACAAAATATATGTTATATATTGTTTTAACATCCCAAGTACTTTTAAGCCACCTTGCTCATTAGTAATGATTAGACACTAGATACCCCTAAAAGCCAGGAGGACCTTCTAAAGTATTTGGGACTTGTTTTTGATAATCATATTCATTTATTTTGTGTTGATTCTTTAATAAAACATGTTTTGAGTATCACAATTTAATAGTTGTCAAAATATAATCTTTATTTACTAAAATATGTTAAATAATGATACATTCAGCCATGGTCATGTTTGGAAATGTTAATTTGAATAAGTTTTAATACTTTTGTTGTCACTCTAAACAAATATTAATTGTTAAATAAAACTGAATTAAAAACATCTCAGAATAAGAAAAGATAATATCTGTTGGTGACGAAATGTATGTACATTACAATAATGATAATACTGCGTCATTCCATGTTTCCAAACTTTTAGCCATGACCACATGTATTGTTTATATGATTTAGTGTTTATTACTACTATGTAATATGCCAAGTAACTGCCAGATTAAATCAAACTACTTCACCATTATTATTTGTAATTAATTTCTAAATAATTGTCACTAAAGGCAAGCATTAGGTGCCATCTCTTACTAAATTTAATAATTATAATTAAATTAATATTTATTAAATAATTTAGAATACTCTGGAAGAAATTGTGGATGGTTATATCTAATATTAAATATGTCTGGAAGCAAAGAGTCAGATGAAGATCTGCATAGAGTAGCATGCAATGCATCCACATATTAAGAAGGAATTTGCAGGTTCAAGTCCCACTCCAGGCAGATTCTTTTCTTCCAGAATATTCTAATTTATGTAATAAANCCAGATAAAATCAAACTACTTCACCATTATTATTTGTAATTAATTTCTAAATAATTGTCACTAAAGGCAAGCATTAGGTGCCATCTCTTACTAAATTTAATAATTATGATTAAATTAATAAATAATTTAGAATATTCTGGAAAAAAGACTCAGCCCAGAGTAGAACTCGAACCCACAGCTTCCACTTACCATGCAGATGCATGGCCAGTTATGCTAACCAGATTAAAAATAATAGTAGTGAAGTAGCCCAATTTAATCTGGCAGTCATTTGGCATTTTACTAATATATCGAGTTTCAGGATGCTTATATTTATTACTATGGTAGTGTTGGTGGATTATATCCTTCTCAGCTTATATACTAATGCCTAATCCTAAACTAGACTAAGGTCAAAGCATAGCAATAGAACAACCTAATACTTTATTTACATGCTGTTCGTGTTTAAGAATTTGCTATGTGACATGTGGTCACTACCATACATTTAGTATGGTAGTCTTCTGTTGTGTGATGTGTGTGCTGTCATGAAGTCCTAATGTTTATAGACTTCTATGTTATGTATGTTGTATGACATCTGTGTAAGAAAAGACTATAGGCACAATGAGAACCAACCTTATCCATTTTCCACAGCCTTTATTTCATGGATAAGTTCTGAAGAATATACTAGTTTTTCACTACATTTTATATGTTGTGGGATTTGGAATAGCTATGTCTATAATGAATGTGAATTTGTTTTGGTTATCAATGAACATGTCTAGTCTGTTGTGATGGATTGTTCTATCTGTGATTATAGCTCAGGGTAATTTTGTGTGTGTGTGTATTTTTTTATGACCATCTGTGGTGTGTATTTATAGTATGGTTCTTGAGTATGTAATAATTTGTTTGTGTTTGTGTGCAAGCTTTTGTTGTATTATATTTGCTACTTGGTTATGTTAATGTAAGTAATGTATTTTTGTTAAAAGCTTGCAACCCAAAGTGATGTGTTGTATAACTGTAAGCATGCTGTAGCATTCCTACAAGTGTAAACTGTGAGTGTTGTCTTTTAAATTGTGCCTCCTATAGTTTCTTGTATTTATGACCTGGTCTTTTATGGCAATCATGAACCTTTCTGTCTCTCCAACAAGACAACTGTAATTCAGCCAACAACAGTATGATACAGTTCTATCAACATAATTCTGGCTAAGATTGTTAAGGTGCTTACCATGGAACTCCTTTCAAGCCTAGAACTGTCTGATTTATATGTGAATTTTGTGTATTTGTAAATCCAGGTGAATATTGCTTAAGTTTAACAGTAAACTGTTTTTGTTTCAGGAATTAATTGTGTTGTTTCTTGTTTTCTGTATAAAAACTATTGCAATATTTCTATTTTCTATTTGTTTGTAGTGAAGATTTATATCTGTAAGACTCTGTTCTCCCTCTTTACAAAGAATAGTCAGCCTTTCTACAGAGGACTTAAAATGGTGTTTGTATTTTTCTTTGGAATTTCATTTGTATATATGTGTCCAATGTGCAACTCCAAATGAATATGTCACTACCAGGACAATGTATATGTTTATTGCTTTAAATGTATGTTTTGCACTCAGCTACATTGTTAGTATTAAATTTAATCTGCTATTGTATTTTGTTAGTGTTTGTTCATTTGTGTGTGTTCTGTGAGTTTGTCTATTGAAATTCTAAATAGTTATAGATTGCCCTCATTCATGGATACATCATCATCTCCATTACTGAGTACAAAATCATCTTTCTTCAGGATTCATTTTACTTTTGTCTAGGCCAAACTCCATTTGAATGTTGATGGACTAAGTATGTGTAACTTCTAAGAGATTATTTAGTTGTGCATGTAGAGATGCATAAACTTTCATTGTCCAAGTACGAGATGAGAATATGTATTGTGCTGTTATACATCAACCAAAGCTGAATATTATCGGGCTAGAAACTATAATACTAATAATTTAATAGACAATTTGGCATTAGAGTTAGGCATTAGGAACCATCTCTTGATAAATTTAATAATTATAATTTAATGAAATTTAAATAATAATTTTAGAATTACTGGAAGAAAAGAATTGGCCTGAAGTGGGACTTGAACCCGCAACTCCTGCTTACCGTGCAGATGTGTTACCAATTACGCTACCTGGACCTTCAGTCCAATCTTCTCTTCCAGCATATATAAGCTAACGATATAACCATCAATGGTTATTACAATGCCGGTTGGGGACGCATTCAGCGCCTAAGACATGCAAACAACTCCCAAGGCACTCAACCAGCTATCACAAACCCCGGCAAGGTTTATATAAATAATCAAATATCCTTACTATACCCAATATGTTTAAAGCTATACAGTAGACCCCCCTATAACACCGTAGATTATTCTGTTTTATATGAATTCCATGTTGTACGAGTCACTTAGATTTTACAAATACATGTGCCGGGCTGTGAACGGCTCACGTATATGTAAAATCTAAGTGACTCGTACAACATGGAATTCATATAAAACGGAATAATCAACAGTGTTATAGAGGGGTCGACTGTACATTAACCAAAGCCTAATATTATAAACTGAATTTTTTTTTCTTCCAGTAATTCTAAAATTATTATTTAAATTTAATTAAATTAAAATTATTAAATTTATCAAGAGATAGCACCTAACTCTAATGCCAAATTGTCTATTAAACTATTAGTATTATAGCCATTTTTAGCCCAATAATATTCAGTTTTGGTTGATGTATGTATAGCTTTAAATGTATTGGGTGTAGAGTAAGGACGTTTGATTATGTATTGTGCTGTTCTGTTGTGTTTAATATTGTATCCATATTAGATGTTGTTTAACCTATTAAATAGGGGGTTCAAGGTCAGACAAAACCAGAGTGATTTAATGAACCTTCCTGGAAAATACCTTGCCTTACGTGTATTTGATTTGTTTTGATGCATGTCGTAAAGTCTGAAATCTGTTGTTGTTCTCCAGTGTTGCAATGTATTTTTTTAAAAATTTAATAAGTATTGGATATGTTGTACAGATGTAATGTATGCAATAATTGTGAATAAAGAATGCTTCAAATACCTTCTGTAATCTAGGTAAGCTATGAGTAAGTTTTTGAGTTGTTTGTGTGCTTGGTGTAGAATGACTGAATCTATAATTAAATGTTCTTTGCATCTTGTGAAGTTACAACAGCCTTTTTGTTTACTCTGTGATTATTATTATTAAAAGATAAAGCAATCTATTAAAAATCTATGGTTCTCAAACACTTCATTTAATGTTTAGCTCACACTATGTGCATGCTAGCTAACATGAGATAATGTAAACTGGAATGTTAAGTAAAGTGAATGAACTTTATGAATATACTTTTTTAATTAATGCTTGCAATAATATATTTCAGTAATGTTATTGTACTAAGTAAACTGTTCCCAAATACCCCAAAGCTACCATTAATACATAGTAGAATTCTTCTTTTAAAACTGTGATTTATTACAACAGCATTTTGAGAAGATAAAGAAATACCTTCAAAATTTAATTCAACCAAATTTGAAGTCATATCACAAGCACAATCTTTATTATAAACAAATCTATTAAAACAAATTTTCTACCATTTGAACTACCTTTAGCATTTTTATCTGAATAAATTTTTGAACTAAAAGATAGAGAAAGATATGCATCCAGTTTGGAGATTCTGAAGATGATTCAGTCAAATCAAAATCTGAAAATAATACTGTCTGCAGATCTGTTGAAAACTTTCAGGCAAGATTTTATTGAAAAATCATGGCTAGAATTCTGTGGGATGTACCAGTACCACAATGATGAAAGATGACCCAATCAATGATATCAATCCATTTAAAATAAAAGTTGTAAAGATGAATGACCCAATCAATGATAACAATCCATTTAAAATAAAAGTTATAAAGATGAAGTTTGCACCAGTAATATCAACAAAAACTATATTTACTAAATGTAAAGAAAACATTTAGTAAATGTAAAACTCTTCTACATGAGAATAAATAATCTTTTCAAGTTAAAAATTTAAGAAAAATTTATATAGCTTATTGCATCATGTGATTTTAAAAGTGCTCTGATTGTGAATAAAAAAATTTAATGTACATAGCTGGTTCTATAATAGTTTTATAGTGCCTTACATTTCACCTCTTTCAGGTGTTTTCATGTCTGTTTTCTGTCTAATTTTTTACATTTTTTTGGGGTATAAAGTACCAAGCATTTGTAATCAAATTTTATGTAAAGACCTTTTATATTCAATACATTTCTTAAATATTTATCTGAAACTAAACAAAATTTATTAATTTTTAAAATAAATATTTCAAAAGTTAATAAATATCTGAAAGATAAACTCATTACCAAAGTATTTGAACATATTAAAAATATATATTAATATGCTAATTATCATATATAGCATACAATACAATATAACTAAAAGAAATAAGTTTTGATGTGCTAGAAAAATATTATACTTGCATTAGCTTTATCTCTCACATTAGATAGTTGAGCTTTTTCTACTTCATCAGTACTATTTTCTATTCTTAAATCAAGTTCCTAAAATAAAACATTTTTAATAATTATTTTTGACAATTTGTCAAATTTAAATACAATATATTATTTAGCTTTTCAAAAAATCCTTTTAACCAACTTCTATAATTTTGGCAAAACTGATGTTAAAGAATTAACAACTTTGATAAATTTTAAAATATTTGGTTAAAAATTTTGCATTTTTTTTCTCCGCAACTAAAAATAATCTTACCTTGACTTGATCAATCAAAATTTGAAGATAAGCATCGGACTCCATTAACTTTTTATCAAAATCTTGTAATGTTGAAGATGAATGTAGCTCATCCCATTTCTAAATTCAAATAAAAATGTAATGTAAATGATTATAATTATTATTATATAATTCTGTAACTCATTAAGATAAAAACTAAGATGTTATTGTCCATAAGTTAGATATGAGAAATATAATATTAATAGTTAGAAATGGGAATGTATGATTCATACTTCTAATAATTTTTAATTTAATATAAAAAAACATAAATAAAGATTTAGTATCTGATTAGCAGAATTATCTAATCTTTATGCAGTTTATAATGCTTGATTCAGCTATTATGTACAGTACATATATATATATTATATTTTATCATCAAATTCTTAAAATTAAAATAATAGAATAATAAATATCAATTTTAAGAACACTTATTCTTAGGTCTAGCACAATTCTAATAAGAAACTTATCTCAAACTGATAATTTTTGCATCTATCCTTTACTTTTTAAAGTATATCATGTAAGTCTGTGTAATAATTATTCAATATCTTTTTTTAATGTTTCATTCAAATTACTTTTATTCTATATAATATGTTTAATTTTTTAAATTATGAAAAGTAACACAAACCTTATGATATAAGCCACTGTGCGAGTGTCTTAAAATAGTTTCCTCTAAAGACCTAACCCAACGTTCTCGCTCTTCTTCATCTCTAGCTAAATAACAATTACAAAAGTATTAATTAATTAAAAGTAAGTTATAACTCTAATTTAATTGTTTCCTTTGCTTTTATTTCATATTTTATTTATCAGAAATTACTCTAAATTGCTCGTCAAAGCTCAATACAAAATATTAGCATAAAAAAATTGCATTAATTTAATTTATTGAAATAATATTTATATTCATTTAATATTCAATTTAAATAATTTGAGACAGCATTATACAAGGGAAAGTCAATTAATAAGTATAATGTAATAACTGCCATTAAATTGGAATGTAAGAAAATCTGATAATTTGCAAACCATAATGGTTCATGCTACATGCATTGAGCAGCCATAATGGTAACACTGTCACATTAATCTGGCAGTATAATTCTAAAATAGCTGCACCACTGAAGAGCAGTGTAGTATAGGTCATTTTTTGAATTTTTTTGAATGCTGAGGGGAGCAAAACCATCCAGAATTTATTGCTGAATGATAGATCAGTACAGTGAAGATTGTCTTAGTCAAGTGGCTACAAATCATTAAGTACAAAGACTCAATTGGTTGCACATCAGTAATTACAATGAATGGAGCAACAATGTGAATGATATCTGTTCCAGATGCCCAACCACTGTGGCAACTGATATAGTGAAAGAGGCAATTAATCAGAGAATCTGTAAGTTCAATTCACAATACTGCTGACAAGTTTAACATGAGTCATAGATCGGCTTTATAGTTTTATAGTAATGAGATGGAATACCATAAAGTTTGTAATAGGTGGGTTCAGACAACTTACACCATAAAATATTTGAGATTTGAGATATTAGAGCATCCACCATATAACCTTGACTTGGCTCCTTTGAACTTTTACTTGTTTGAATTCCTAAAATACTACCCACATGTGGTAAAAAATTTTCAAATGTTAAAGAGACACAGGAGGCTGTGTACCTGCTGAGAGCTCAACTGAAATAAATTTTTACAGGTAAGACTTCCAAAAGTTGTAAATTAGTGAATCATATGCATATACAAGGGAAACTACATAAAAAAATAGATATTGTTTTATTCCCACCATATTATTTTGTAACACTGTCATAAAAAAATTATATTTATTTATTGACCTTCTCTAATAAATGACATATATTAACTTATTATTTAAGTAGATTTTATCTAATATATAATATAAGTTTTGCTAAGAGCAAAGGTATGAATAAAAAAATAGAGAGCATATCAAATATTAAATGTTCTCAATATCTAATTAATGTAATTATCATTATCAAAATTGCTATTTAAATCATTAGTATAGCATTAATATTTTTAACTCTCAGCACCATATTTGCACTTGCATGGTGCTGAGAGTTAAAGATTAATCATAGTTCCAGTTATTTGTTCATCATTTACAGCAATAATGTTTAAATTGTTTTCATTAATCAATTTTTAAAATAACAATAGTTACGAGGTGGAATTTTAAAATATCAAATTGCAAATCAAGTAGGAAATGATGTATTAAAAGTGAACAACTTTGAATGATTTCTGATATATGGTGCTAAACAATGAAGTTCTTACTATAATTATATCTAACTTCAAATGATAACATATTCACAGTTCACATCTTTTAAATAAAAACATAACTTTAGTGAACCAATTATGTAATTAAATTGATTTTAAAAATGATATTTAAATTTTACCTTGAAAGTGAAAAATTTTTCCATCAACTGTTATTGTAAAAGTACTATCATCTTCATCATCAATTCCAATTACAGCTCCCTTGAATAAAATATTCAAAACTTTTATATAAGCGAATTATTAAATATTTACAACACCAAGACAATTAAGTTATATATATATAGAAAGAAGTGAAGACAAAAGAATATTAAAAGAAGAATATTAAAGGTTGAAAGAATTAAATTAAAAGATTGAAAGAAGAATATTAAATATAAAGAAGTGAATATTTATATATTCACTTCTTTATTCAATAAACATCTATTTCAATTGCAGAATATTTTGTTATACCTAACTCTAAAGAATACAAATTTTGATTTTGTTCAATGTACAGTCAACCCCCCTATAACACAGGTTCCTATAGTTAGGATTCCTATATCATGGCAAAAAAATTGCGATAGTATTCTTACAAACATGCTAAAAACACTCCTATAATTCAGTACAATTGCAAATGTATTCATATAAACACGCTAAAAGAGACTCATATAACACAGTAAAACGTCATCTCCGACTCATGTCGCGACAGGATTGACCGAATCTAGACCAATAGCGAATATTGTACAAACCGTTGAGTTTAAACGAGCAGTGGACCTACTAAAAATCATTTATTATTTAACGCCCATAAAAATTATATTTATATTAATGATGTCACCAAAGTTCAGCAAATTTTTTGCAAAAAAAATAATTTATCAGGAAACACGTGCCCACCGTTCGATGCGCCACTCCAGGACGAAACAAGCTTAAGCAATAGCGTTGTCAAACGGTAAACACTCACTTGTCAGTAAGTAATCCTACAATTTTTTGTTTATAACATAGTTTATATGGATTATTCCCAAAAAATTATACATGTTTTGGAAATGTTGAGTCAAATTAGTCTAGAATCGATTATTTTAATGGAGAAACCTTTCAAACAGCCATAGTCCGTAAACTGCATGCGTGCCGGGCTGTGATTGGCTGGACTTGTAGAAAATGGATTCATAAAAACTGGAACATATCTACTGTGTTATAGGGGGAGTCAACTGTAATTTTGTTCAAATCTTATTAATTATGAATTAACAAGTACATTTATGTATTATTAATATGTGATACTTATCAGCTTATAATTAATAAAATTAATCTGGAAATCAATTATAAAAACATTAAGAATAATATGATACTTTCAGAAATACAAATATGCATATACTTGTATTATATAAATAACCTCTATTTAACTGGAGAAACAATAGACTTATTTAAAATACCCAAACTCCAGCAGTAACACGTAATATTAGCATGAGAACTAATGTTTTTGGAGTTCTTAAGCCTCATCTTCAGGTTCTGCAGTCATTTGAACAAAGAACAATTTTTTTGTTGGACAAATGATGATGTTTATATGGAATGTTTTTTTAAAAAGATGAACTTTACATGCTGTTTAAAATTAACACTTATGTGTTACTAATGTTTGGTTAGTGCTAATGATGTGTTTGCGGTGTGATATTAGGTTAGGCAACAAGGAAAGAAACGGCCATCAACTATAAAGACAGCAACTCAATGGCCCAGGTATGGAGAGCCTTATACGAGATATAAAAAATATCACACTGTAAACATGTCATTAGCACTAACCAAACAATAATAACATATAAGCACTAAATTTTAAACAGCACATAAAGTTCATCCTTTTAAAAAAGTATGATACAAATGGCATCCTATTTCCAACAAAAAAAAGTTGTTCTGCATTCGAATGACTGCAGAACCTAAAGATGGAGGCATAAGAACTCCAAGAACGTTAGTTATGATGCTAATATCACATTACTGTTGGAGTTTTTGAGTATTTTAAGTAAGTCTGTATATATTTGTATATATCTTTATATATTTATCAGTAAAAATGAAAAACTTCCAAATAATTTTATCTGCTTGTCTATAAATGATAAAGCAACATCTAGAAAATCTGTCAAAGACTGATGTCTCCTGAAAGACATTATATGTAAAAACTGATTCCTATTTAGATGATGGACATGGAAAGAAAGCCTGAAAAACTATATACAACCAGTCTATTGGTCAGAAATGAACCTGGGACCAACTAAGTGTTCAGAAGTTTTGTTTACTTGGCTTCTAGTGAGCCCAAAAATAAAATTCTTATATATAATTTTACCAATTTATATGTTGATAAACAAAATTGACATAAACATGAATAAATAATGAAGATCTTTTATTCAAACAATAATTTTGTTAATATAAACATTAACATTTTAATCAATAAAATTTTATTCTGAATTTTCCAATGGTTTAGCTGTTTTATATGTTGATTTAGTGAACGTCTCTTCAATCCGAAAAAATTCTTTCCGGTAGACTACCTCACAGCCAATTCAGGTTATAAACTCCTTTTATTGTTTTTTACAGATGCATTTTAAGCTAGGTTAATTTACTAGCTCCTCCTCAGTGAAACTCTTAAGCACTGAGGAGGAGCTAGTAAATTAACCTAGCTCGAAATGCATCATGAGTTCCATGAGTTTCACAAAAGTCATGGAACTCTTAAGCACTGAGGAGGAGCTAGTAAATTAACCTAGCTCGAAATGCATCTGTAAAAAACAATAAAAGGAGTTTATAACCTGAATTGGCTGTGAGGTAGTCTACCGGAAAGAATTTTTTTGGATTGAAGAGACATTCACTAAATCAATAAAATGTTATTATAAAAGACAAGTTTACAATCTTTACACATAAAGGTATTTACACAAACTGTTATATTTTAACAATAATAAAGTAAATATAGTAATAATAAAGCAACAATAATACATAATGTAATGACATTTTGAACATTTTTCACTTAAAAAACTACAAGTGCGAATGAATTCAATCCGAACGTATCACGAATTCGGACTCTCTTGAATAAAGACTGTTTCCATATTGCCATTTAGTTAACTTTATAAACATCTTATTCTTAAATATTTTTTTTTATAATTAATCATTGTATTTACGGAAAAATTAATTTTGATTATTTGTAATCACTTCCACCATGAGTATTTAGCATTTAGTTGTATTTATACAGTAAAAAAAATTAGAAAATTTAGTTTTGAATAATATAAAATAAATAATAATTTAAATAATATGTTAATAATAATTAATTTAAAATTGTATTTATAAAATATAAAATATATTTTTAATTAATGACGAATTTATTTAATAAGAATTTTCCAGAGGGCTCTTTAGTTGATGTCATTTTCAATATGAGAAATGTGATCGATTTCAGATGCCTGAGATTTAATGGACTTTTTTGCTATGTTTATTAAAATTAAATTGTAATGAATGGGTGTTATTATGAGTTCTAGTAAGTTAATTTCATATAACAATTTTTAAAAATAAAAAAAATGTCATTAATAAATGAAGACTTAAAAAGTTATGAAATTAAAAGTAAATAAATTTTAAATCGGCAATGTGATGACGAAAACAATATTAAATTAAGCTTAAACTTCAAGCAATTTAATTAACAGTTATTACAAGATATGAGTTTTGTAATAAAAGTTATTACAAAAGATAGTTAAATAAACACAATAAATAATTGTAATGGTGATTTAACTATAGTTAAAAAAAATGATTATGTGTTATATAATTCAAAAATATACTAAAATTGTAGAGCGAGAACATAACAACATTGGTATCTTTTGATAGTCTATGCCACAATGTACAGTACATTTGAATTTACATAAATTATTTGATTTGATCTTATTATCTGACAATACAACTCAAAATTGGTTAGATTTTAATCTGTATGTTTTTGGATTTGCTAATTCTGATAATTTATTTGTTTCTCAAACAAATAAGTGTCGCAAATTACAACACTTGGCATTTTACCATATTTATTCAGTTGAAAATGTCCAGTCCCTACAGTAACCACCGGGCGGTGGACCGCAAGTCTGATTGAGAAACAAAAATTATACAACGCTGTTTCAAATTATAAGAAATTCTGATAATATTAAACAACTGATAACAATAACAGATTCTACTGAATTTTTGTCTTCTATGAAAATATGCAACAATCTTCTGATTGTGATGTGAAATATTATTGGTCTTTGCAATTTCTTGGTAAATGCATTTCAACTGTGTTATCTGCAGAGGTCAATAATAATGATGAAGTAAGTCTTCAAAAGGAACCTTCCCATATTATTTCTACTAAGAAATTCTAAGGATCATATTGAGGAACTTCATCTCTCGCGAGTTTACTCCATCCTGGTCATCGTACTGGCCTTGGATGGCAAATGGAATACGTTGGTGCCACAACATGTCTGTTCAAACAACATTTAAAAGAACATAACCTAAAAAAAAAGGGGGACATTACACAACTGTATTAGTCAGTCTGGCCACGGAATACCAAATCAAAACACACAGATGGAGCCTGATGTTTGCATGCAATCAGAGTGCAAACATCTTTCATACACCTTGAGAAGCTAGAGATATATAGGGCTTGTAAGAAAAATATGACCATAAATTACAAGGATAGCAACATCCTTAAGCATGTAGATCTGTATTTGAAGTCCAGCAATAAATACTACACATAACATCAACAACTAGTCAGATGATATTTCTTCCTTTAAATTACAATGTACAATTCATCTGTTTTTTTATCTGTACATGTTTTAACCTGATGATTACAGCTAAAGTTACTGAAAATGTTTGTTTTTCTCATCAGATAATTTTTCATTTTATGCTGGCATTTTGGTTATTTTTTTCTTATACTTGTAATATTTGTTTAGGCAATTTATTGCAAAAGTCTGCATTTGCATAAGTCTGCCAGCTTTTTAATGGATTGATACAAACTAGAGTGGAACAAAAGTGAGCATGTTGCTTAGTAAAGTGGTTTTAATACAACTGAATAATGAAACTAATGACATAACATTTTCAAATGAAATGACTATGTTGTTAGTTTGCTTATTCAGTTGTATCAAAGCTGCTTTACTAGGCAGTACATCCAATAAATATGAGTGAGATCTTGTTGCTTCCTTGATTATGATTGATCTGTCGGAGTATCTGACATTGAGAAGAAAACATCAACATTGACATTTTCTGCTCAATTCATAGATACAAGTGATGTTCAAAACTAAATGAATTTTATTCATATTTTTAAAAATAACTTTTTAACAAATGAAAAGTGCAGACTGATTTATCAGCAAAATGATTTATTAATTTTGTTAGGAGAATCCTGTTGAGAAGGAAAAAAATTCATTTTCAGTAATAAAAACAAAAACCACACATGTTCATTTTCAATATATGTTGATTTAATAGATGTAAGTTAATATGATGTAATTGACATATTATTTTGCTCTTTCTGTCTTGTAGGCACTAAGAGAACTTTTTTTTGAGCCTATCAATGGTTTGGCTATTATTATTTTGTGTATTTTTTTAATGTGCAGAATACATTGGTGTGAAAAAAATAATGTAATGCTCTCACATAATCTTTTAAGTAAATATAATTTTTTATAGTTAAAACAGTCATTAGTGCAGTGAACTATTAAATTATTTGAATTTACCATTGGTTGTGTCTTGTCAGACGTTTTGGCTGGATCTAAATATTTGTAAATAGTTTTTTCATGTATAAATTAGTTTGTATTCAATGCTATCACTTCTATTGTGCTTTCTGCTTTTTTTATTATTATTTGTAAAATATAAAGTCTTGAATAAAAGTTCTGTTTATTTTTATTTTTCAATTATTCTCTTAGCTTTTTCCTGTCTGAAAAGATTCAAGTCCAAAATATGAATCAAACAATAATTTAATGATTCATTATGATTCATTAAATTGATTCATTATACTGGCTACACCAAGATCATTCATTTTATTATTTTTAATAAATTGATGGGTCAAGTAGTATTAATAAGCCCTAAAATATAAATTTTAATGGTCTTTAAGTAGGAATATGTTAAATAAAGGTCAAATAATAGNCGATACAAGCCCTTTGAGTAATTTTATAAGATGGTAAAAATATTGTAAACGGGACTAAAAGTACCGTATAAGTGTGAAAATTAGATCATATGAAACTCATGGAACTCTTAAGCACTGAGGAGGAGCTAGTAAATTAACCTAGCTCGAAATGCATCTGTAAAAAACAATAAAAGGAGTTTATAACCTGAATTGGCTGTGAGGTAGTCTACCGGAAAGAATTTTTTTGGATTGAAGAGACATTCACTAAATCAATAAAATGTTATTATAAAAGAGTAATAAATTTGTTTATTATAATTATTTTATTCTTCATTGATTTTCATAAATTTAGAAATGATAATAACTACAAAAAAAGTACATTAAATAAAAAGTAATTCTTCTATTTAATGTGGAAAAAATGTTTTTGAGGCAATAATTCACAAATGAAGATAATTTTAAATGAAATATATGACAGAAATATTTTTAATATCAAATTTGAAAGAAATAATTAATTTATTAATAAGAAGCTAAAATTAGCAATATTTGCCAAATATAATCAGTCCCTTTTATAACCATTTAAAAGGGGTTTTTGGACGAATAAACCGAAATGTTATGTCCTTTGAATCCAATGCTCACCTGAGTTCAAGAATTACTTAGAAGACAATTAATTCTCAGATATTTTATTTAAATGCATTTCGGATCAGAATTCTTGCCGACCCTTGGATACAATCTGCAACAGAGCCTACATCAATATTTTGGACTCTTTGAAATCAATCACAGGAACCTTTATTAATATTTAATAACTTTTATTAATAAATCACAGGAAATTTATTAATATTTAATCATATATCCTTGTTTGTTTGGAAATTTACAGTGTTAACACATGAACTTGTATTTTGAATATGTCTAGTCTCTAAAACTTAATATGATCTTGTTTTAAATCCAAGCATACATAACTAATTGAAATAAAATTTAATAGTGCAAGTAAAATAGAATAAATACAGCCATAATACAATTTTTAAAAAAATAACAACAATCTGGATATAATTTTGATAATACGGATCTAAAATTTTACAAAATTATTTATAATTTATTACATTAAAAGATACTGTTGTCATTGTTGTTGTTGTTATTATTATTATTATTATTATAAAGATGTTAGGTAATTTGGATTAAAAGTTAAGCTGCCATCTTGTATTAAATTTAATATGTAATATTTTTATAATTAATTAGCCATATCATAAACCAATTAAAATCTGTTGGTATCATTTATTACTATACACCATGCTTAGTTTACATGCAATTATATAATTCCTACGACAATTAGTCTCAATTAAACTGTCATAAATTATACTCTTCCATTGAATTTAAGCCAACTGATATACTTGAAATAAAATACTAGGTGATTCAAAAGTCACAGAAATTTTAAAAAATTAATAACTCACAAACTATTTACAGTAAGATGATGCGGTTTACATAGTAATGCTTAGAAAGAAGCGGGATATTTTTAGGTGTAATAAAAATTTTAGTACAAAACAGTCACATTTCTTGCCATAGATGGCACTGTAGGAAACTGAAAGCATTTGTAATTTGTTAAAATAAGAATAAAAAACTACAAATATTCATAGTGTAAGTTCTAGTAATAACTACAGAAATTATATAATCTTATCAAGCACTATCTATGGCAAGAAATGTAACTATTTTGGTACTAAAATTTTTATTACACCTAAAAAATTCCACTTCTTTCTAAGCATTTCTGTGAAAACTGCATCATCTTACTGTAAATAGTTTGTGAGTTATTAACTTTTTAAAATTTGTGTGACTTTTGAATCACCCTGTATTTTGATTACATTAAAAATGACAAACTAAAAAATGTCACAACTTACTTTAAGTCTAACACATCCTCGTCTAGCACCACGAACCATCTTGTCTTTAGACTAAATTTTTAAAAAAATATATATTATCACGTAACAAAGAATTGAACGATTTACCTTATCGAAAGTTGACCGTAGGCATTGATCGATCGAATATTATAGGACGTTCAACTAAAAAAAGAGAATAAGATAATTTTTATATTCTAAATTTTTAAAAAAATATATTTTATCACGTAACAAAGAATTGAACGATTTACCNTATAACGTACTTAATCCGTTCCAGGTGCACGTCCGTTAAGTGAAAAGTCCGTTATACGAAATGCATTTTCCCATAGAAATACATGTTAAAACATATAATTTATTCCGCGGCATAAAATAACCATACTGTACTATAAAAAAAAATGAAAATAGAGCAGTCACCAATTATGCCGGGTAGTCAGATGTTGTGAGGAGGAGGTGGAGGAATGCTTTACACATTCATACAGATACAGACTTTACACATTGCAGTAAACAATAAAAAGAGACATTGCAGGTCTCTTTTTATTGTTTTTTAATCAGAGTCAGGTTCAGGAGAGGCTACCGGTGCTTGCAGGGTCATCTCCTCGTGTTCCATTCTTTGTTTTTTGGCAGCTGGCTTCTTGAAAAACATGTCCAAGGGTGGTCTGTTTCTCTCTCTTCTTCAACACCTGTCAGAAATGACGGGCAAGGGTGTCGTTGTAGAGATCATTGATCCTGTTGGCCTCAGCTCTGTTTGGATAATGAGTGTTGGTACACTCCTGAACCTCTTCCCATTTGACAAGGAAATTTTTGTCAACTTTCACTCCTTCTGATGATGTCTTGCTTTGTTTTAATTCAAATCACCTTTCTGTTTATTTAGAAGCCATGATTTTCACAACACTTGAATAAATGTAAATACCCTGCCCTGAGGCTTGCCTCCTTGTAATAAACAAGGAGGCAAGC